GTAAAAATATAAAAAAAATGATGAGAAAATAAAATATTTTTTGAAATAAAATAATATTAAATTAAACATGACTAACGAGTGGTTAAGTAATTAATTAATTAGTTTTTAAACCAAAATGAATTGTTTAATTTATTTTTCAAAACTAAAAGAACTTATTTATAATTTCACTAGTTAAATTTTGGGGTTAGGATTTAACCATCTTTGAGGTCCTTATACTACAACTAATTGTTAAATCAAAATTCACATTAACTTTTCAAGTTTCATAATTTTTTTATAAAATATTTTTGAATCAATTTACACGTTAATCGAATATATTAGTTTTTCATTGTATCGGTTTGCAAGTTAATCTAGTATAATCATTTTTTTTATTAAATTGTTTAGATATTTTCAAATCAGCTTATACATGAATTAAAATTAGAATTCTCATGGCTAGTTTCATGTATCGGTGTAAAAGTTTATAGTCTCATTTATTGTATCAATTTGCTTGATATGAATGTTAACATAACAAAAATTACAACCACCCAAGATTGTAGATGGAGTGATAAAAAGGGTGTTTTTGACTCATCGAATTATGAATTTGATTTTTATCGTTGAAAAGTTTCTTTATCTTTTTTGTGTGATATTAGACATGATTTTTTTTATGAACTCAAAAGAATTTGGTTTTAGAATTAATCAAAGACTATGAGTGATTTAGCATTAATATAATCTAAAAAGTACCAGATTTTATTTCAATTGATACGAAAATTGACTTAAAGATATCTCGCTACATGTAAATATCTTGTAAAATATATATATATATATATATATATATATATATATATATATATATATATATATGTGGAACAGTAACAAGCTAATAGAGTGACATATGATTGCATTTTTTAATAATTTTTTGGTTTTGTTATTTTTGAATTCATTTTTGAACAATGCTGAAATAAAATAGATTAAAAAAATTAATTAAAAAGGACTTCATAAAGAGGAACAGACGAGAAAGACCACTATTTTAATCTTACCTTTATCGTTTAGTTTTTTTTATCATTCTCGTCCTGATTAAAACTCCAACGCAATTGCCACAGCCACCTCTCTTCCGAGATAAGAGAAGAAACAAAAATCAATAATATTTGTTTCATACAAGAGACATGAATTAAAAAATAATGAATTAAAAAAATTGAATATACGTAAAAATATTATTGTTGATATAATTTTATTTTTAATTTTTATATTATTTATATTCTCAAAATAAATTCTATTCATAGAATGAATATCGATAATTACTCCTGAAATATTTTAATTACCATCGGAGTAGTTTGAAATCTCTCTCTGATGAACGAATGCAATCATTTAAGAATTTATAATAAAAAACAGTAAAAAAAAAAAAGAAGGTGGAGAAGAAGATTAAAATGCATAATATTTTTAATTATCGAGAACTGGGAATGAAGAAGGGATGGCAAAAAATAATCGGATGGAGACGAGGTTCATTGTTTAAAATATGCGCAGGGTGGGCTTTTTTCTTATTGACAATATATTAGATGAATAAAGTCTGTTTTTGAATTTTAAGTTACAATATTTGGAGGATGTTATGCCTATGGACTTTACCTTTTTCTAATAAACAAATGGAATCGGTTCAGAAAATAATAAATAATACATTTTTTTATAATTTTTGTTTATACGTAAAAATACACTATTAGGGTTACGTACGCTAGCAATTGACATTTCCTTTATGAGTTTGTACTCTTTTTTTTATCTATAATACAAAACAAATAGATAGAATATATGTTTGAAAGTCTAATTACATCATGTGAATAAAAAACAGATTGGAATTTTGTTGATCTGCACTGATAATAATATTATTTTATCAGGTAAACAAAACCACCTAAAACACTTTATTTTTAACAAAATCCTTATTAATAAAAGGGTCGTGACATCTTTTATAGTTTATTCTTTATAAAAGCAACCCTATAGTTTATTCATAGGGTAAGAAGCATCAGAAAATCAAAAGAAAGGAAAATGAAGAATGCTAACTCGTCTTCTTTTGTTTTGAAATAATTTATATAAATATCCACTTGTTTATATTCATCGAGTAATTCGAGAACTTTTCGAGTTTTTAAATCATTTATCTATTATGTATTAATTGCGTGTAATGTTTTTGTAATCACGTGATGACATTCTTTGAATGAAAAATATTTTATGACTTAATATGATTCGTTAGTATTTATAACTTTTTTAAGTTTTATGGCTGTTTTTGTTATGCTCTATAAAATTTTTTAATTATTGTTGCTAAAATGTTTAAGAGTTTTGCCATTTTTGTTCCCCTATAGTTCATTGCAATATTACATTTCAACATGCAAAAAGGCCAATCTAATAAGATATACTTTGTGAATTATTTTTTCAAAATTTAAGATTTTTTATGCATAATACAATTGAACTCTATGGTAAAATTTATGCAGAAATCGAGTAAATTATCTATATTTTTATTAACCATCTTTCCTTTGTTGTTAAAAAGTCAAATATCTCAAAACAAACCGAAATAACAAAAGGAATGAAGAGTAAATTATAAATTTCTAATTTTGAGAAATGAATTAATTAGTTTTTTTTGTTTTGAAAATAAATTATTTAATTTTTCTTGTTTTGAAAACTAATTATTTATTTTTTATATTATTTATTTTTTAAACTTAATCATTTTTATTTTTTTCAATTTATTTTGATTTTTTTAAAAAATAAAAATAAAAAACACGTAAGAATTGAGGATAAAATATGATATTTTAAAAATAAATTAATATTAAAGCAAGTACAATTAGTACTAGTTAAAAGATAAAATAATTTTTTTTAAATTAAAATTAATCACGTGTTCTTTAATTACGGTAATTTCATGAGATTTTGAAAACTAGGAATTGAAATTTAAAAACGAGGAAAAAGTATTTTGAAATTCGTTAGTTCAATGATTTTTTTTTCTTGTGGTGAATTTCATGGTTTCACATTTGTTTGTAGCAATATGTGATTGTAAAAATTTGGAATATTGGTCAAGCTTGATGGTCGCTGCCAAAATCAATGGAGAAAAGGCACGACAACTAGATTTAGAGTTGGACAGAACGGTGTCGTCGACCTTTTCTTTTTCTATTTATTATTTGTTGTGTTCTTCGTTGTTTTTTTTTTTTTTTTTGGTGGGCTCGGCTTGGTAAGGGTTTGGACTTGGTTGACCAATTTTAGCTGAATACGGGCTTTAACTTGAATGGGTCCGATGCTTCCTCCAAGCAGGCTTGGTCCTGTTTTCCCTTTTTCTTTTCTTTTGTTTATTCTTTCACTCGAATTTCTTTTTTTTCCTTTTTTTTTTTTTAAATATGAAAATACGTAAAGTGGCTTGAAAATTCATGTAAAAGCCATAAAAATAAATGAATCTCGAAAAATCGTGCATTTGTTTTTTTTTTCAATTTTATGTAAAATAGAGATCGAAAGGGATTGTGAAGTAATACATTTGTTGTTAATTACCTTTTACTTAAACCAATTGAAAGTTCATTCTATAATTTTATTCCCATGGATCTTGCGTAATTTTCATGATGCGGTAAAAGCAAAAAAATAAAAAATCTATAATACTTTATTTTTCCATATTAAGGTCTTTCGAATTGTTGAATTATGTATCTTTTGCTACTGTATAATTTATTAATTAAGTCTTTTGATAGTAAAATTATAAAATTAATAGTATTATTTTTTTAACATATGATTAGTGGTCAGTTTTTAGCGTCGTATAAGAAGGGAGGCGAGCTTAATTAATGCCCATTGGTAGAAGAACTAACTTCGGCTTCTTCTTGTATGGAATGTAAACAGGTCCAGTGTTTAAAATTGAGCCATGGAATGAATATCAGAAGGGCTAATTAACTTTGGCCTCTTCTTGCACGTGTTAAAATGTTGATCTCATGTGTAGTAGTAAGCTATCGATTTTTATGTCAATCGAAATTAAATAATTTTTATATTAGTTGAGACCAAGTTTTTATGTTTTAAAGTAGGAAAGAAATAAATTTTTTAAAGGCGATAATTGAATTCCTAACTTCATGAGTTGGAAATACTCATATTATAATGTTTGATGATTTATTTAGAATATTTATTTTTGCAATCAATAAATATTTAATTAATTAAGTTAAATATTTAACTTCGACTAAACAATTATTATATATAGTATATTTTGAGCAAATAAAAAATAATTCAAATTATTAATACATTTGTGTACAAGTTTTGAGATTCTAGCCTTGAAATAAACAAAACATACACAGACATATATATCAATTAGCATGATATTTAAGAAAAATCATTATTAACGTCATAAAGAGTTATTTATTTTGGTTTTCTCTAAGTATTTATATTATACATTCTAAATATGATTAATTTTGTTCATAACGAAAATGAAAAAGTTTAATATCTTTTAATAAATACGATTTCAGAATTTAAATACTATACATCAGTAAAATATTAACACAGAGACCATCTTTCTTATCGCCAAGCCAAACAACTTATTTATAAATAATTGATTACCTAAATTCAAAAAACTTCTTTCGAGAAGATTTTAAATCATATCATTGGAAGGAGGTAACGAAGTTTAAGAAAAGCATATGAGCATCCCAATTACGTGTTTACAACGACTTCTTAGGTAACATTGATTATAAGATTAACAGTATAAAAAGTAAGTTAACCAGGGCAAATTTTGTTTCTCTTGATCGAAATTCAACATTCAACAACCCTACGTAGGTGCACTAGTACTCCTCCTCACAGGCCCCAACCGTTGGTAGCTTACTAGTCTCTGTCTTCCTACTCCAAACTTTCTGACACTGTCTTAACCTTGAAACAACGTTCTCCATCTCCCATACCTTTTCTCCTTTCTTTTTACTCTCTCCGTAGTCTTTTGAAGTGAAAGCAAAGAAAACCCGGCCCAAATTACGAACCCAGGCCATCATCAAATATTCCCTCTTCACCCTTCTAAACTCACCACTTTCTGAACATTCTTCAACAATATGGAAACCTCAGCTCTTTCTCCAAAACCAGCAGAAGACTACAGCTCCTCGATTGACACTTCTCGTCCATTTCGATCAGTCAGAGAAGCTGTTGCCATCTTCGGCGAGAGAATTCTAGTAGGAGAAATATACTCTCCAAAGCCTTTTTATACTCCTCCTAGAGAAGAAACTAACTCGTGGAGGTTCTCATCACCAAGCCCTAAAGAAGATCATCATGAACAAAATGGGGTCTTCGGTACTCTAAAGAAACTCGAGGCTGAGCTTGAGGAAACCAAGGCAGAACTGAAGTTGTTAAAGGAGAGAGAGTACGAAACAGAAATTGCAGTGGCTTCGTTGAATGCCGAGCTTCACAAGAATAGGTCCAAGTTGGCTGAGGCAGAGGCAGCTGCAGCCAAAAAGGCGGCAGAGACGCCGAGATCGGTGAGTTTTGCTAGGGAAAAGAAGGAAGAAGTACTTAAAGAGGAAGAAAGGAGGAGAGAGTTGATGATAAGAATGGAGAGTTCTCCAACCTTGTCTCAAATATTAAGTCTTGGGGAGGAGAAAGGGTACTTCCGAGGAAAGAACGAGCGGAAGGCAAAGAAAAAGAAGCCTATTATTCCTCTCGTGGCCGATTTGTTTTTCAAGAAAAAAGGGTCATCAAATGCTCTTAACAACCCTCTATATGCGTCTCCCGAAATGTATTTTTAATTGAGAAAATTTGGTTTTATTTTTATTTAGTTTTGTCATAAAAAAAAAGACAGAATATTGTAGAAAAATTTGCACATGCACTGCTGCAAGGTGAGTTAAATTTCTGTATACGATGCATATGTAATTAATATGTTGTTTTGTGTCTATGCCATTTAAAAGTTGGAAAATTCTCCATTTGCTTGTTCATGTATAGTTTTGCGGCCCTGCAGATCCTCAAAAGCAGGGCAGAGAGAAGAATTTTGAATTAATTGAGTCTTCCATGAAACAACCAGGAGGCTCCATTAGATCGATTAACACATCCAGGGTTAATATTTTGGATGAGCCAAAATAATTAATTTAAACTATCAATAGAAAGATTTAATCACTGCATGTTTTGTATTACTGACTCTCCTGTCTCGTTATCATTCAAGATTCCAATCTCAAGAGAGAATAGATGTGAGACCTGCTTCTTTCCTTGATTTGCTCTCATACGATTGTCATTCAAGATTCGATTGTTTTTTTAAAAAATCAAAATAATTATTTTTTAAGGATGCACCAATCTAGATGTGAGATTGTTTCCGGATTAAGAAGATATTTAATTAATATATGGCGAGCTACATGCGTATCATGTAGTTAAATTACTTTATTGCAGCAACATAAAATTAACCAAATATTACCCCTTTGATGCTCTTTTTTTCTTTTTTCTTTTTTTTTTGATATCAAACGGTTGAAAGGCCATTTAAGCAAAGCAAAAGTTAGGCTAACCTCGAAACATCTTACAAGATTAGTTGGGTAGGCAATTCCTCACAAATAATAAATTTTATAACACTCAGATAGTAATTAGTAATTAGCATATACACCATGGTTATTTTATCAATCTATTTTTTTAAAAAAATAGACATATAAAAAAATCATATCAAACTCATTAACAATAATAAAAAAATTTATATTTTAGTTTTTTAAAATTTTTTCTCTATTTTATTTTTTTCTATCTTTTTTTATAAAATAATTTATATTAATTATTTCTTAAGCATTATAAAATCCCTCGTAAAATCCTTGCTTCATCACAAATTATAAATAAAAAAAAGAAAAATCTTAAAATTTGTAAGTATATATATATATATATATATATATTTGTTATTTTCAATTAAACCAATTAAAAACTATTCTTATGAGATTAATTTTTAAAAAGTTATGTAATTCGAAAATCTATCATCAATAAGTTATCAAGCATTTACAAATAAATAAAAAAACACACCGAACATCCATCTGACTATTGAGTTCCTGATCGATAAAATTAGTTACAACGTATATGAAAATACTAATATCTTGAGTTCTATTTTTGCTACTGAAACTCGAATGATACAAACGATTTTTTTTTTTTAAAGAAAGCAGTATAAAAAAAAAAAGAATAATTATTACAATAGCATGATTATGAATCAATTATTTATATTTTTTAAATAATAAGTTGGACTGTATTAAAAAAAAAAAAAGGATGAAAAATTAGTAGAAAAAAGAAAGCCAAGGCAGATTTGTCAGCTACTATCGTTACGATGCCTCCCTGGCAGGATCAGCACCCCAGATTTATTAATTTATCAAACCAACAGAGAGACAGAAAGACAAGCTCGCTCCACTCCTGGTTTCTTTCCTTGCCATCTCCATAAACTGCAGTCCACTCTTCTTTTTTTCGCCAAATCCAAAGTAAAGAAGAAAACATATCTGTTGTTTTCTTTTCTTTTCTTTTCTTTCATCTAGGAAGAAGAAGGAGAGATGCAATCGGTGGTCCTGAACCCAACTTACTGCAGGGACCAACAAACCCTAGACACCTCTTGCAGCTATCCTTCTCCTCCTATCCTTCATAAGGTTTGCTTCTCTTTCTTTCTTTCTTTTTTTTTGAAATATTAATTAGTTCTTTTTATGGGTTGAATATTAATTTGGATCCCATATATATTCACAGAGTTCAAGCTTTTTTGGTACCCGTGTGAGGAGCACCAATCACCGGCCCCAAGGCATCCCTTGCCGTGCCTTACGAATTCGATTGCCTTCTTTTACATGGAGGCGGCTAGGTTCGTTATTTCTATTCTTTCTTGTGATTCTGAATACCGATGCAATTGATTCTTCATGCCTTTTTTTTCCTTTTAATTTGGAATGATGGGTTTTTTTTTAAAATTAAGTAACGCTGCTGTCCTTTTTTGTTATTATGCAGCTGTAAAGGCTGTTGCTACTCCAGATTCAGCAATAGAATTGCCATTAACTGTGGACAATGTTGAGAGTGTATTGGATGAGGTTAGACCCTATCTGATTTCAGATGGTGGTAACGTGGCATTACAGGAGATCGATGGCAATGTTGTACGCTTGAAACTACAAGGAGCATGCAGTTCTTGTTCTGCTTCTGTTATGACAATGAAGATGGGTATTGAGCGTCGCTTAATGGAAAGGATTCCTGAGATAGTTGCAGTAGAAGCAATAGCAGATGAAGAAACCGGACTTGAGCTGAATGATGAAAACGTAGAGAAGGTAATCGAATTGGAGCCTTTAATTTTACTATTTGATATATTGCTGTGGAATTGAACAGTTATTAAATGATGAATGACCTCTCGAAAAGATCCATATTGTAATGGTTGGACTAAAAAAAATTCCAAGATACTAAGCTGCAGGATAAGTATTGAAAAAGAAAAGAACAGAGTGTATGGTTCTCTACTTCATTCGCTAATAGATTAAATCATTTCTGTGGTCCTCTACTTCCTTCGGGAATTCTGGAATGTTTTCCTTCATTTACAACTTATTCGTCAAAGGCATGATCTACCCTTATTTTAGCCCTTGGTATTTATTTTGGATCTAGAGCGCTGTGTGTGTTTAAGATACATCTTAAAGTTGCATGCGCTTTGAGATTCCTTTCTGCCATGTTCCACCACCTGCATCTACCGGCTAGGCAGTTTCAAAACAACACCCCCCTCGCTTCCCCCTTCTGGTTTTTTTCCTGTTGGAGGAACTTAAACTGTGTGGGTGATTACTGCATAGAATTATGGATTTTTGAGGAAGGTTAAACGTTTGAAATCATTGAATGCACAGTGAATGGTCCTCTATTTGCTCAATCAAGCCTATATATGACTCTAATACCAAGGCCTCCCTCCCTTCTAAGAGAATTTTACCTTTGTAGGAAAATGGAATTGGAATTATGGGCTAGGTTCATTTCTGAATGGCCTATAGTCAGATGATTTGTTTATGTGGTCCAAAAAACTGCCTTCAATGCAAACAAACAAGTAGCTGCTTAAATTGTTAGAAAGATTCTACTTGACTTTTTTATATCCCAATAGGTTGCTGCAGTTTTTGTGATGTGCTCATAACACACAATAGGAAGCCATTAGTTAATGACTTCGACTGGATTGTCTATCAATAATAGCCTCAATTTTTAACAACTTTTCACCTTTGGAATAGGGTTTTCAAAATCTCTGGATAATCTCGAGTGTTCTATACCTTATAAGAGCTGCTTTTAACAAAGGTTTGAGGGTGTTGGGAATTCAAAATGAGGAGGTGCTGGAACCTTAGGCAGGATGGTAGCCTTAGAATCTTTTAGGTTGGAAGCTTCATCTCCCCCCACAACCCCCCCCCCCTTTTTTTTTTGTCCCTCCTGCTTTAGAATACAGTAGTTCTGCTAGCTTCAAATTGGTGCTGTACCGTCAGTCTCTAGTGGTGTTTGTCAGCTGGTTTGTACTGAAATCGGGGAGTTTTGATGTCTTTTGTTGTTTTTGGTTGGTTCTTTTCAGCTTTTGTTACTGAGGGTGAAGTCTCTTTCTTGTGCATCATGCTTCCTTCACCTCCTATCTGATACTAAAGTTCTTTTTTTCTATGAAATTGTATTTTTGCTTCTGTCAAGTCTAAGATGGTCAGAAGCACAACAGGATTTTTGTGGTAGTATAGTGCATTTTAGGAGGCCCCTGAAGTTCCTGCCTTTGAGATACAATGTCTGACATGAGCCGTTAAGCTGTTTCTGACTGGCAATGCTCTTATTTTCATTAGAGCCCATAGCCTCATAAGCTTATGGCTGGGGTGGCATACGTTATCTTCCTTTTTTTCTACGTGTAAACACCCCTGCTCCCCACTTCCAGAAGAAGCCTATAATACCTGCATGCATAGGCAGTTACACATTATTATGTATGTGTTGGCTGTTTTTCTTCTCAAACTTCAATGTTATTTGCTGATAATATACTTGTTAATTGTTCCAGGTACTGGAGGAAATTAGGCCATACCTTGTTGGGGCAGCTGGAGGATCTCTTGAACTAGTGGCCATTGAGGATCCGATAGTTAAAATCCGAATAACAGGGCCAGCAGCTGGGGTCATGACCGTACGAGTGGCTGTCACCCAGAAATTACGAGAGAAAATTCCAGCCATTGCTGCAGTTCAACTCTTATAATATTCTTGCAGATTTTTTCGACCAGGACACGAGATTATCAAATAAACAGAATTATTAAACTCTTAATACCTGTATAAATAACACATTAGATTTTGTACAGTTTAGATGGATGCAGTTGCTTGAATACTGATATTTTGAAAATCAAGTTAGAGGAAATTTGAAATTGCAAGTCATTTTGTATTAACACTATGATCTTCACCATTTTCTGTGAAATATAGCTGCTGATCTTAAATAATTTAGGGTAGGATCCTCATTATTTTTTCTAACAGCAGGCCGTTGTTTTTGCAGTCAGTCCTCTGAATAAGGGTAAGTAGGTGTGCCTGTCAAACGTTGATGCATTTGGTTTTTTTTATTTTTTATATTTTATATTTTATATTTCGATTATTGCAAGCTTGATAAACCTAAAATTGTTTTTAATTTGATAATCTTAAACTAAAATTGTTTTTTATTTTTAATACTTGTATTTATTCATTTCTATAATTAAAAACCATTGGAAAAAAAAAACCCGAAGAAATAAAACATTACGAAACTATTCTAATATTTATATTTTAATGTTATAAAGTTAATACGTCTTCTCTTACCAAAATAACTGTTATATTATAATATTTGAGTCCTTTTTTCAAATAAAGGATATTTGGTAGTTGCAGAGTATGAGACCTGATGAGTTTACTATATTCTAAAGTCATTTAACCACTTTTGATGCACTTTTCAAATCAAAATCAGTTTATTTTAACTGGGAAATAACTATTATTACACTAAAATTGGAAATTGAAAAGAGATTAGAGGATGATTAAAAACATGGGGAAAGTGGCAGTCACGATTTACATTTTGGTGAAGACGGTGTTAATGCATTTTCAATCAAGTGAAGATGTCTTGGACCATGCCTTGGATCAAAATAAACATGCTTCTACTCTGAAAACTACGAATTTTACGAAACTATTGAGTTGGAATAACACTAGGAGCGCAGCTGTTACATTTGGGTTCCAAAACCAAAAGTTGCACTCACATTTAACATGTCCCCATCTTTACAAGCAAGGACAAACCGGAATTTAGGGCAGCCACCACTTCTTGTATTTTAAAACCATGATCACATGATTTTTCAATCAAGAGAGTTGACTCCAACACGAAACCTAAAGAGGCAGCCCTGTCTCTTATGTTTAAAATTTGAAAAATTGCAGTTTGTTGCACTCAAAGAAATGAAAAGGAAAGAAAACAAATTAATGAATAAAACTAGAACAAACATGTGCGAAACCGTTATCGGGAAGCTCAATGTTTAAGAAAATAAATTAAAACAATGGTGTAATTAAGAAAAATCCATATTAAGTCCAAACAAACATTCTTTAGGAACCCCAAAGTGCATCAACACACAATTTCTGATCCAGAACAAAATGGCAGCCAACTTTGGATACTTAAAAAGTCTAAACACAAAATTTTTAACCCAACTCACGCAAAGGGAAAAGAGTAGTAAAATGGCAGCCATTTTTTTACGCTTAAAAGGCCAAAGCATAAAGTTTTCAACCAAACTAAAGCAAAGGCAGAAGCAAAAGGAAAATGGCAGCCAACTTTTGACAAGTTTTTAAAACTGAATTATGTAAATATTCAATGAAAACTCAACAATCAAACTAATCAAAGTGCACAAGAAAATACAGCAGCATTTTTGTTGTCTTAAAAACCTTTGAAGCGAATATTCCCAACATAAACTCACTGAAAACAAAAAGAACGCACCAGCAGCCCCATAACGCGCTTTAAACAAACAAGCAAGCATGAATCCATCATCTGGGAGCTTAATAATGGCCTCAGGCCCCAAACCTTTGAGAAAACTCTCAAACACACAAAAACATCCAAAAATCACACAAATTCGTCAACAAATAGGTCTGGTTTTGATCTTGAGATCTAACCCCAAGTAAACAAAAATTCAGCCTCAATTATCGAATCTAAATCATCCAAATCAGCAAGTAACAACCTCAAACAAGTGACACAAGTTTTGTCAAAGGTCCAAGGCACGTGGGTGTCGCTATTGACCAACGCTAATCTCCCCTTCAGATCTTACACAACACACCACACATACCAATGCAAGCAAACATGCAGAAAGACAAAATCAAAGCATTGCACCCATAAAGAATCTGAAAAGGCAGCATATATGTATGTTATAATTCATATTTTTAGGCCACACTATCACATTTATTCAAATCCATTATCCATATCAAGCAAGAAAAAGAAAAAAACACCAAGCAACTCAAATCTCAATCATGTAACACAGACAAACTCTACTACACATATTAGCTAACAATTAATTTTCCTGTCCAGCAAGCATATATCATCATATAATTACATAAACAGAGACCAAACTTGCATTTATATTATCTGGAGCCTTCATGTAATCATACTAGCAGGACATCACACATTTTTTTCAATAGCAAAGATTAAAAATACAGGCATCCTATTTTACTCAACCAGCATATACCACTGGAGCCAAAACATAACAGTTCAAAATCAAGACTAAGACAAAAATCAGATTTCCAACTTTTACAACTATCACGACATAACAGCAAAACCTCAAACCAGAGATAAGTCATTACCGAGTACATCAAGAAATCATCCAAACCCAAGATATTGTAACCATCAACCATCGACTGACAAAATCACAATTACTGGAAACATTAACACAAGTAAAAGATGATTATACTTTGGGTTTCATCTAAATACACCCAATAAAATCTGGTTCTGCTTGTATTTAGCTGGTGGTTCGACTATAGAATTGTGATGGGTCATGATTTCCTCCATTACCATGACTGTTATAGTGGCTGAACGATGGTACCTCTGCTGATGTCGGCATTGCTGGAATAATCGGTGTGACAATTGGAGTCGTTGGTGGCAGCATGTGAAGAGGCAGGGGTAATGGTGAAGTGAGGGGTGGCTGGGCTTATTGTTACTAGTGCCACTTCTGTTGCCCCTAGCAGTTTGATGTAGTGTGGGAAGCGAAATCAACTCATAACAGAAAATAACATTAAATATGATGGCTAAAACTAGAAGAACATTGAAGTGGAAAATAGAAAAACAGGTTTAAGGTTTGCAGACAAGAGATGTCTCAAAAACAGCATAAGCAGCCCTACTTAAACTAATTCTAGGTCAAAGTCCTAATCCTTAAAAATTAGGGAAATTCTCCAATGCTGTTGCCTTCGAAGCCTAAGGCTCCTTCCCTCTCTCTTATGCACAGAAGAACACACCCACCCTTACACACATGACACACCCTTGCATCAATTCTTTTGACACATTTCTTGTGTTGGCTCGGATCGTTTTAGGAGTGGCATAAACTTATAAATGATTGATTGAGAGCTGGCCAATCCCACAGAGAGAGTTTAGAATCTGTCCCATCTCATCAAGGTTCATTACTGGATATCAATTCAAGATACATTGACATAGAGTTTTAGAATCTCAGCCAGGAGTCAAAATAAAAAATCGATATTTTTTTGGGAGCTAAACCTAGAAAAGTTGTTTACACAGACCTATCCAGCTGAACTGATTATAAGCAGGGTAAGGGAAGAGATACTTCTAGAACCCCGAAATATAATCAAGCCAATGAGCATTTATTGAACCAAGAAACCATATCCTAAAAATTTGTATGCTTATATTAAGTTGTGCACACCTATAGGATAATTATTAGAGTGTTTCTACAGATTCAACTTACATAAACCACGTTTCATTGCAGCAATATAATCCCAGATTGTTCAAATTCTAAGTCTCCATTGTCAACAGTAATATAAACATTATTTTATCACCAATGAGACAGCATCACCGGCAAAAGAATTTTCACAAGCAAACTTGCTCTCTTTGAACATTCATAAAAAACCATTAGGTTCCCATTCCACAAGTTTGGACTTCAAGCCAACTCCAAAACTGTCCACAAAACTTTCCAAGGAAAACAAGAAAATGTAACTAAATTACATAAGGAGGGAGAGAGAACACTTCATGAGGCTGTTGTTGGCTGTGTTGAACCAGCACTTGCTTTTGTATAAAGAGGATGAAGCTCATACCCATACTTAGGTTCTACGTGCACCCATTTGCGGCCAGTAAGCTTGTTTGTTTCAAACTTCACATTTCCTTCCTTCAGGGCAAAAAGAGTGTGATCTTTCCCTATCCCAACATAGTTTCCAGGATGAAAACGAGTGCCTCGCTGCCTAACTATGATATTTCCAGGTATAACCCTCTATACAACAAATTAAATCATAAAAAATGAGAATTAAGCATTCTCAAGTAGTTATCAAGTGATGTCAGAAGGTGGATGAAACAAGAACGATCTGTGCCAAGTACTAACCTCCCCGCCAAATTTCTTGACCCCTAGATTCTTAGGTTTTGAGTCCCGTCCATTCTTTGTGTATCCAGCTGATTTTTTAGTAGCCCAACGTCTAAACATCAAGCTCAATCCTCCAGAAGATCCGTCTGAACAATAATCACAAAGACATCATAATACCATCGCACACAAATTCGAAGGAAGATGATACAAACAAATAACCGTTTGTAAGGAAGCAGACATTACCAGTAATGCTTTTATATACAGGGACATTGGCGACCAGTTCCTTCACACTCAAACGTTTGCACAACATTGTTGTAAAATTCATCATGTTCAATTGCCAAATAGTTCAAAACCTGCCAAAAAACAAAAACAAAATCATTAAGATACGTGAAATTTCAAAAATCCAAATTCACCTGAAATCAGACCTGTACATCGATTTTAAAAAAGAAATTATCATAAGCAAAATTGGTCTCATTTCACAAGTTCATTTTCAAAACTTTGCTTTTACTGTAACGACGCCAAAACTAGCAGCAATAATCCATTATAATTTGCTCCAATGTGAATTTAAACATCCTAAAGGCCCAACCAATTATATAGACCTCCAACTATGAGAATATTAAAGAAATGGAGTAAAAGGTAAATAAACAGCTGAAATATTCTTCTAATTTGGTTTCAATCTATAATCTGTGTTGTTTTTAGGGGTTTTTGCTTTCCAGCCAGGAAGCTAAAGTTTAAAAAATAAGAGGACAAAGTGGTGGTATTTGTACACAGTTTTACCATCACCTTCCACATTCCAAAAAAATAAATAAATAATCAAAAGTTCAAAGGAACCCATCACTGACATGAGAAGAGAATGGCATTTACACACCTCTTTATCTTGTGCAGAGACAACACTGAGTTGTAGAGGAAGAGCTGGACTTCAAGAACCCTATTGTGCAAACAAGAGAGAGAATTGTATTTTGTATATGCATAAACCGTGAGAGAGAAACGTTGTAGTTTTGAAGATTTGTTTTGTTCTGTTTAATGATTTGTAGCATAAGCTTCAACTTTACCCATATAGATTCATCAATGCTCTATTTCTACCCTTATATTTTAAATATCTGCAATCTCACCCTTCTAGGCTTCCTAAAGTTTCAATGGTACCCCTAAGCATTAAATAACCGACTTTTTAAATTGATTTTTATTTTTTATTTTTAGGCTTCTAGTTGTTTTGGTAAGATAATATAACATGTTTGTAGAATTTAGAGGAAAAATATGATAGAAAAGTAAGAGAAATGAAATAAAAATATGAAATAGCTAGCCTAACCTGCAAATTTAAAACTTTTTGAAAACTATAAAAGTAACATTTGAAAATTTTAAAGCAAAGGAGAAAAAAACACTGATAAATCTATGAAGATAAAAATATGATTTATTTTAATTTATGATTGATCTTTTGAGATTTTACCAGATTTAATTATAAAAATTATCAACAATTAGTAAATTATTAACGAATTTCACTAATTTAATAAATGAGATATCGGTTGATATTTTTTTAAAAAAAATTTTTTAAAAAATTATGTAAGAATAATATCACTCGATTAAAAAAAATACAATACCTCTAAATTTGAAGGCATAAATTAAATTATGGGACCATGATACATCAGCAACCTAAAATTGGGACCATTGGATCCTCGTCCAGATTTCTTCTCCTAGGGCGTGTTTGGGCATTCAGGGTACGGTGGGCTTTCCTTGCTTTAGGGAAAAGAAAATACCCATTTGCTCCATAAATGAGTTAATTACAATCCCATCCTTACTTTATAAATGAATTTACGCTATTTATGATGCATGCGTCTGCCTCTTTACTCTTTAGGCCTCACGGTGGGAAAAAAAGATACGTGTGAGTTAATTACAATCCCATCCTTATCATCCATGCATATATGTGAAGGCACATGAAACGTCATCAAATTATAATTAATGGAAATAAATTACCATTTTAAATCATATAAATAAAAATTGTATTAATTAAAATTTTGTAAATAGTTTAAACATATGTTAGAGAATTTCAAAATAATTTTGATCATTTTTGTACCTTTTTTTTATAATAACATTATCCATCGTACTTTTTATCTAAAAACTTCTACGATAATTTTCAATCAATCACACATTTTACAAAATATTTTTTTCTCTGTCTATGATAAAAATGATAGAAGTATCATATACTTGATACATTAATTCAATTTTTTATTTTATCAATTCAAAAAAATGTCACACTAGTATCCATTAAGAAATGATTCTATAAACTCACATCTAATTTATATGCAATACACCTGCTTATTTAATAATGGTTAAAAATAATTTATCAAAATATTTTATTTTAATCCTTGTAATTTTTTTAAAAATCTATCTGGGTCCTTAAAATCATTTTTACAGTTAATTTATTCATTTATAAATTTTTTTGGTCTTCAAAGTTCTTATACATAACATTTTGGCTCTTATTTTATAAGTCTTGTGCAATTAGATCCCTACATTTTTTTGTTTTCTAAAAAATAGTATATATTATCCAAGTATAAAGTAAATACCCATTCCTAAAGTCATATTAACGAGTGTGTACATATATATTTTATCCTTATTTTTCTCGATACTAATAAAACAAATACTGGTTTTACACTCGACTCAATATTTCTAGATATCAAGCCTCTTTCTCATGGGCCTGTTTTTTTGTAATCGAAACTTCGGAGTTGGGCTAAACTTGGGTTAGTTAGTAGCCCGGCCCAGTACTTTATGCCTCCCTCTAAAACCCTGAAACCCTAAACTTGGGAATCCCTTTTTACGCTGCGGGCAGCCTTCTCTTCCCTGCAAGGTTCCAGCTTCAGTTTCTAGGGAGAGAAAAGAGATTTTTAGAGAGAGAGGCAGGAGAGATAATGGGGGGAGGAAGAAAGAATCGTTTGAAGTGGAGAAAAAGAAGAAGACCAGTAAAAAAATCCAAGCCACCAGGAAAGAGAAGCTCAATACAGAAGAATCTCTACTCCATCTAAAACAAGAAGATACAGCAACTGATTACAAGGTGTGCACGTTTCACTTTTTTGTATTCTTTCTCTCCTGGGTTTTGACGGAAATCATGGAATATTTCTACCTTCCTCAGAAACAAGCACAGTTCGTGCTCATATAAACATCGATTTTTGTGCTTTCATAGCTGTTACTTACATGCTGCAGTGGCTATTTTGTGATAAATACTTGCGGTGTTATGGCTATTTTGGTTTTTTGAGTTGTTAGTGTTGTGCTTGTTTGACTATTTGTTATTGGATGCTTACTGTGTGTTCTGTATAACTTTAATCAGTTTCGAGTTACTTTTTTTATGGTAGGAATTTTCTGAGAATTATAAATCAGCAGGAGAGTCGGAAGCTGGCAACAGTGAATCCTCTGGAGATGAGGTACATGGTAATTGCCTGCGTTTGCTTTCCATTTGCATGTGCAATATTTACCAACATATACTTAAAAAAAATGTAATAAATTTTGATGTTATCTAGCATGTGCTGTTGTTGGGAAAAAAAAAAAACCAAAACCAAAACAAAAAACAAAATGCATGCTCTGTTTCATAGCAAAGCTAATATTAGAGAAGGCTAGTTATATGTAAAAGTCATTCTATGCGTAAGAACTCAACGGCACCAAGTCGAATCAGACAGAAAAAACGGGGCGACTGGGCTCTAATCAAAATTAAGGTTCAAGATTGTTTTTAGTGAATTGTTTTTATAAATTCTTGGCTATTAAACAGAGGGAAAGATTTTCCCCTCCTTTGGCATGACATTATTGAATTTCATGTTTCACCTGGAAATCTTTCTTTTTTATTGTGGTCATATGTGATTGAATATCTTAACTGTAACTATTGCAGGGCATTCACAACACTGGCAGTAATGAGGGCTTGGCCAACGAAGCTCAGAGTGAAGACTCTGAACCTGATCAAGGAGCTGAGGAGAGCGATTCTTCTGAGGATGAGGTACATTTTTTTCTCAGCTTCCTTTAGTTCTGGAAAAATGAATTTTAATTCATTTGGGTGTTTTCTTAATTCCATATCAAGTGTAACTTATTTTGTTTGGTTATTTTCATTCAAAAGGTGACTCCTAGAAATACGGTAGGTGATGTTCCATTGGAGTGGTATAAGGATGAAAAACATATTGGGTATGACTTTGCTGGAAAGAAGATAAAAAGGAAGGAAAGACAAGATAAACTTGATTCATTTCTTGCAAATGTTGACGACTCCAAAAATTGGTGAGTTTTCCAATTGTATTCATGATTTTCTCATGTCAAAACTTATCAATGACTGTAAAATACTTTCTCCTGATTCTTCATTTGTTTTCTATGTTTGAAGTCATCTTATTCTCTTGCAATATTTTGTGCTTCTTTGTGCTAGGACTGGTCAGTAGTTGTTGTATCAACATCAAAATCATGGTTTTCTTTTTCTCTTTTTGTGATTCTGACTAGGAAAAATTATTGTGATACATCATTGAAGAAAAGAAATCCTTCCAAAAACAAAAGTAGAAACCAATACCAAAGGACCCTCCAATTTTCATTTATCTAGTAAGGAAACCCCAATATCTAACCAGTTTTAGGGCATCAGAAGTTGAGAAAACTATCTTATCAGATAAGACGAAAAAGCAATTCATTTCCTTGAAAGATTCTCAAGTTAACCATTCAAGTACTCCAAAATATTGGATAAATATCACAATTCAATGAATTAGATAGGACCCACCTGTGGCTCTGATTTCTCAGGTTTGGCACGTCCTCACATTATACCGTTTATAACAAATAGTTGGATATTACTGGGCAAAAAGGGAAAAGGAGTTGTCTTTAAGTTAGATTTTTAGAGGGTTTAAAATTTTTTTAATTGAAATTTAAATACATTGTTGGATGGGAGAGAATTTAAAGACGGGTGGAGGCAGGGAGTTAAAGTGTGCTCTTCCTCCACCATGTTTTATTGTTACAAGGACCTTAAAGCATGGTTTGACGGGCTGATGGCTTGGTGAAAATGATCCTTTATCTTCTGTCTTATTCAACATTGTTGTCGATGTTCTCGGTAGATTTTACTATGTGAGGAGTGAAGTCGGTCTTGTCAGAGGATGCATGTAGGTGTAGAAAATTTCTTTTTGTTTGATTTTCAGATATCTTTTAGGAGTGACTATTTCATACTCAACCTCCCATGGAAAGATACTGCTTTCTATAGCATCTTGGAATCCTGTAGTTGAGAGTTTTAAACTGTCTCGAAAAGTGAAAGAGTGTATTTTCTAATAGGGGTTTGCATTTGCATTATCCAAGCGTGCTAGTTTTCATATTTAGTGTTTAGTGATGTGGTGTAGGTGCAATTGATGTTTTTTTAGGTGTTTTTTGATAGTCTTGACATCTTCATCTCAAAATCATCTAGAAGCACCCCAAAAAGCACCAATTTGATGTTTTTTCAGGCCAAATGCACTTTCAAATGCAGCTCAAAACACATTACCAAACACAGCCTTAGCATCTATCTTTGTTCAGATTTATATAGGGAATGTTGAATAAAAGAAAGAAAGTGATGAGGGAAAGTGATGAGGGATTTGCTTCAGCGGTTGCAAGGAAAGGAAAGGGGACCATTTTGTTTGTTTGTTGTTGGCATGATTGACCCTAAAGTGGAGAGGTTTGGGACATGGAAATCTAGTGTTTTAAGGAAATTCCTTTCATGTTAAAGATCACAACTGAAAAAGAGAGAAGGAAAGAAAAACAAAACAGAGAGAAAAAAGCACCAACGTGCATATAGCCATGGAAGACAAGAGGAGCACTGTCGTTCTCATCCAATGCTCATTTTATGCTTAAATGAGGATGACGATTTTATCTTTTAGAAATATTTTATAAGTAATTTTTCATTGTTTTGTTTATAGTAGATTCATTGTTTCAATCATATACGTATTGTTACAATTATGAATGTATTTGTTTTGTAAGGATAAGAGAAAAGAATGCAGTATTATGTTTTGGTGTTCAATGATTGGTAATCATTTTGCAGGCTACTAGATAGAAATTTCAAAATGTTTAAATAGCCTGGGCATAATTGGGTGCAATAGCACGACAGTCTACCATTTCCTATTTGGGTGCATGAGTTAGTGTTTAGATCTTTTTTGTGTAATAAGATAGTTTACTCTTATGTTCTGATAGAAAGGTGTGTGCCAGGCATATGCTTTTGCCGCGCTTCTAGTGCAAAGGTTCCAAGAGCGGTAGTTGATCACTGCTTTAGTGTCCCAAGCTTTTTCAACAACTCTGGTTGTGATATATCAAAAGGTTGCGTAGAATTATGCTATTTGTAGAGATTTTTAGTGTTTGGATTGAGAGGGAAAAAAATAGTCCAGGATTATTTTGTCAGAGCAGTTACTGTGGAGGTTGGATGTTGACTCTTTAGGATTTTTTGTGGATTGAATTGGCACTCCTTTTATGAATTGAATTGGCTTATTTCAGCAAAATAATAAAAATAAAAAAAAACTCTTGGAACTTTTTAACGACTCTCTTGATTGTTTTCAGTATGATTGGACCACACTCATCCTTCAATATTTTGCACTTCCTTTTCAGGAGGGGGAATAAATTCCTTCTCTTTTTCTATCTTAATAAAATTCATCTTTGAAGTGCACATGCACATGCACATAGAAGTCTCATCCCCTGAGAAAATTGTGAAGTATCAACTTTAATCAAGTCTAATCTAACCTAACGTGTTTGCTAATGGTGAATTTTCTGTATTCAGGCGCAAGATTTATGATGAGTACAATGATGAGGAAGTAGAGCTGACAAAAGAAGAAACCAAAGTTATTCGGAGAATGCTCAAAGGAAAAGCTCCACATGCTGAATTTGATCCGTATGCGGTCCGTAGTTCTCTTTCATTTTCATATTCGAATATTTTTGTACAATTGTAATCTTGGATTATCACTTTTCACACATATAATGCTTATCTTTATATGCTCAAAATTGATATCTTATGTGTTCATTCAGCCTTATGTTGATTGGTTTAAATGGGAAGATGCAAAGCATCCATTGTCGAATGCACCAGAGCCTAAGAGTCGGTTCATTCCCTCAAAATCGGAAGCTAAAAAGGCAAGTCATTTCATATTGTATTGATCCTAGATCGTTGGGGAAATAAACAGTTCAGTTTTTCACTTAGGGTTTATTTGAATGGCCATCATCGTTTTAATGAGCTATCATTGTGAATTTTATCTGGAGAGGTTCATTTGTGAAAGTCATGACATGGTTTTGTGCTTCATTTTCTGCGCCCTTTGTCTTGTGAATCTACAGGTGCTTCGACTTGTTAGGGCAATTCGCAAAGGATTAATAAAATTTGACAAGCCAAAAGAAGAACCACGTTTCTACATGTTGTGGGGGGATGATGCTAGCTCATCAGAAAAGACTGGGCATTTATCTTACATTCCTGCACCAAAACCAAATTTGCCAGGTATGATCTTATCTCTCTTCTTTTCGCTCTGCTTGAATGAATTTGACTTCTTGAACTTTATTTTGCTTTTAGGCCATGAGGAGTCATACAATCCTTCTCTAGAATACATCCCAACACAAGAGGAGATCAATTCCTATCAGTTGATGTATGAGGAAGACCGACCTAAATTTATCCCTAAAAGGTAACTTGAATTCTATGGTCAATAATGTTCATTTACAGTTCTTGTTTATTGTTGAACACCTAGTATCTTAACAAGTTCATCCACTCAGGTTTACATCTTTAAGGAGCGTCCCAGCATATGAGAATGCTGTAAAAGACTCTTTTGAGCGTTGTTTGGATTTATACTTGTGTCCTAGAGTTCGCAAGAAACGTGTAAGTTACCAACCCAGAAAATTTAGTTTGCATGTTGCTTGTTCCAATTCCTACCCTCATAAAGCTAATCAGAATCTGTACTCTTGATATTGCAGATTAATATTGATCCCGAATCTTTAAAGCCTAAGCTACCAAGCCGAAAAGATCTTAGACCTTACCCAGCAACATGCTATCTTGAGTATAAAGGTCATAAGGGTGCAGTTATGTCAATTTCCACTGAAGCTTCAGGACAGTGGATTGCTTCAGGTTTGGATGTTCATCTTCAGCATTTATTGTATTGTCCCATTAAAAATCAGATTTATCCTTGGATGTGGATCTTATGATTTCGTGCTCTCTGAAAGGTTCAAGTGATGGAACTGTGCGCTTGTGGGAAGTTGAGACTTGTAGATGTATTAGAGTCTGGGAGTTTAGTGAAGCTGTCCAATATGTGGCATGGAATCCTTTGCCCGAGCTTCCTATATTGGCTGTTTCTGTGTAAGGCTTATTGCATTTTTTAGTGGGTTTAATTTTGTCGAACCGTTTATCATGCATGCAATTAAAGCAAGAATACTTTGGCAGAGGACAAGATGTGTTTCTTTTGAACACTGGGTTGGGAAATGAAGAAATACAGAGAAAAGTTAAGGAGCTTCTGCATGTTGAGACACCGACAGCTCCAGACGATTCTGGTCTGTTTAATACTTGCTTATGCATTGGTTATTTTATAGCCAGTGAAAATTTTCTGATTTTTTTTTTTTTTTTTGCCGTTTATTGTTTATTTATAGGTAGCAAGGGTTGGAGCTGGCTTCAAGATGGTGAACATGAAGGAATCCGGTTAAGGCATTTTAAGGTAATTTTCTTTGCTCATTTTAAATATTCATGAAATAAAGTATTGTACTTGTTTTAGTGGAAGATATTCATCTGAAAGTATTCTTAGTATTTACCACTTGCGTTTTCTTTTGCTCTTGCAGTCTGTATATTCAGTAGAATGGCATCGTAAAGGAGACTATTTCTCAACTGTGATGCCAGCTGATATCCTTTTCTTTCACTGTCATTTGATTGTAGTTTTGTTTCTAGTAAACATTTTTCCATGAGTCTATCTGTCACGCTTAACTTTTCGGTGCTTACTTTCCTTTTTATTTATCCTTTTCTGGCTCTTATTCATTCTTATTTTCGTAAGAAGGCAATTTCATGATTGCAGAGGAATTCTTTTTTTAAGAAGACATTTAGTGCCATTGGTTGGTAGATGCGGTGCATGTCAAGGTGGATGTAAAAAAGCATGCATTTCTTTCCATCTCTATATCAAAAGGTGTGATATTCATTTGTGGATGTAAAATAGATGTGCTCTTGTTTGCATGTCATTAGTATGCATGTTTAGTTTCATGGATATCTCAAAGGGACTTGAGCATCCATACCTATCTATTTCTGATGTAGTCTTGTAGAAATTTAATTTTACTGAAGGCAGAGCAACTGGCTTAAAGCCAAAAGAAACAGAGAATACCTATTGCCTTTTATTTGTAGCCTTGACCTATTAATTACGCGATTCAAAGGCAATTCTTATCCACCAGCTCTCTAAGAAATTTACGCAAAGACATCCATTTAAGCTGCATGGACTTCCGGTGTCAGCAGTTTTTCATCCTACTCGCTCAATCTTCTTTGTTTCAACAAAGAAGAATGTTCGTGTTTATGATCTGTTGAAGCAAAAGCTGATTAAGAAGCTGGAGACTGGATTACGTGAAGTCTCCTCTATTGCAATTCATCCTGCTGGTCTGCTTCCCATTCTTCTCAATGGATTTCCCAAGTCATCATGTCTATCTCGTTTTTTTACAATGTTCTTATTCCGGACTTACATGCAGGTGATAATGTAATCGTGGGAAGCAGGGAGGGAAAATTATGTTGGTTTGACATGGACCTTTCATCTAAACCTTACAAAGTTCTCAAGTATGCTGCGACCCTTCTTTCTTTTGTTTTGTTTTTTTTTTTTTTTTAACAGAAACAAACATACAAATATTATTGGATTAAACTTTTCTTTTACTTGTCAAGCATTGATATACCTCTCAATATTTACATTTGAAGAACAATTACTACTATGAATTCTGATGATTTTATTTGGTCATCTAATTTAGCCAGATGAATGTTGCAGAAGATGTATAGATATAAAATCGTGTGCTTTCTTTTAAACTTGGTGTTCGTCCACCTTTTATGCTTTTCATGTAATGGCCATCTTTTTCTGACGTGAGTTCCTTTTCATGTTTTCTCTGATGTGATTTTGGAATTTATCAGTTGTCATCCCAAAGACATAACCAATGTGGCCTTCCATCGTTCATACCCACTATTTGCATCATGCTCTGATGATTGCACTGCATATGTCTTTCACGGCACGGTTTATTCAGATCTCAATCAGAATCCTCTAATTGTTCCCTTGGAAATCCTCCGTGGACACGCAGGTTCAAATGGAAGAGGTGAGTGCCTTTTGATATACACGTGCACACATATTTTCAATTTAGGGGCAGATACATATCCAGTTCTTGAATTAGGATTGGGTTGAAATTTAAGCATGCTTTGCTAGTAGTAGTTAGTTACTCTCAGCCATGCTGGCTGGGGTGTTTGTCTATTCCTCTTAGGCACTTGAAAGATATGACTTTCCAGTAATAGAACAGTTTTGGCCAATCCCAGATCAGACGATTGAGTATGTGCATCGTAATTTTTTTTCTAGATCTGACTTGTGGCAAGAAATCTTTGCTTCACCTGTTTGCTTTTTATCATATTTTGATTCTCACAATCATCTCTCTGCATCATTGGCTGTTTGGACATGTATAACAGCAAGTATTGAGATCCATTGTGTCTATTAATATTTGCCCTTTCATCATATAATATTATAAGTGACTAATTTGGTTTTCATTTATTGCTGGAAGGGATAGCAAGGGGATGCATTGTAGTTAAATTTTGTCTGCTGTGTAGCATTTGTCATCCACCGCATTACATGTCGGTTTAAGAAGCCTTCAACGTCAGTTGCTGAGATGAAACTGACACATTTGTAATTGATTCTGGATTGTATTGTAGGGGTATTGGACTGCAAGTTCCACCCACGGCAACCTTGGTTATTCACTGCTGGTGCTGATTCTCTGATAAAACTTTATTGTCACTAAGATGACGCAAAAAGCAGCAAAGTATTATTTCAGGCCAGCTGGAGAAAGATTGCAAGCCAAATGACACAGGGATGAATGAAGTTGGAGCGATGCTGGAAAGTTATAAATCACAGTTCAGGCATTACAAATAGATTCAACTACAGATATTCCAGCATTAGTTGTGTTGCATATGGTATTTAAACAGGCCTTGATTATGATTTTGACAGTGACAAAATATTTATTTACTCCGATTATCCTGTTAATCCAATTTTGTTTCTCTTTTTTGGTGCCCGGGAATTTCCCTTGTTCAATTAATTGCGCCAGCGAATTAATCATGAAATAAAGCAATGGTGTGAAGAGATACTGTCTGGAATCATGACAGAGGTGGCTCAGATATAGAACTATTTCAGATAGGGGTTTCAAGCTTCCTATTCTGGACTATGCTTTTCATTTTGGCTCAATTTTCCTTGGCAAAAATCCAGAACAGTACCTGTAGACCATTGCCAATGACTATCTGATGATCTGACGACTGGCTACTGCCAGTTTCCGTTGTGTCTATAAAAGAGTAAATTATAAATTAGTCCCTCTCGAGAAATGAATTAATTTTTTCCTTTTGTTTTAAAAATTAATTATTTAGTTTTTATATTTTGAAATCTATTTGTAATTTAATTTTTTATACTTTTTAATTTATTTTAATTTTTTCTTTTAAATAATAGAAAAAGAAAAAAATATGAAAAATATTGATGAGAAAATAAGAGATTTTATGAAATAAAAATAATATCAAATTAACCATTTTTAACGCTAATTAAAGGCTCAAATAATATTTTTTAAAAACAAGAGGATTAATTAATTAATGTTTTGAAATTAGAGGGACTAATTTATAATTTACTCGTCTATAAAACTATGGCAACTACCAATTTGTATTTAAGAAGACTTTGAAGGCCTGGGATTAAATTGCGACGAAAAAGCTACAAGAAACGATGAGCCATCACACAGGTTCAAAGTTCGAACCAACAGAAATGCTGTTCTAAAGAGTACAACAATGACAAATTTATGAGTTGCCAGAGCCTTATTAACGTTTCTCCCCCTCTTGTTCATTCATGAACGAAAACTCGCCGCAGCTTTTTAACGTTGAGAACTGCTCAAGTTTGTAAGAACGAAGGAGGAGCAATCGAGGCATAACAGCCGTGAGTTTATAACTCCAGTTTTAAAAGAAGCTCCTGCCATCTTGGTGTCACTTCCTAAAAAATGTAGGTTAAAGGAGGAACTAAAATACCGCTGCCTCCAATCTACATTAACATAAACACAAGTCAGATGAACTTAGTCCTGTCAGGAGAGGGTTTGATTGAATCATTGTATCAGTCAAACATGGGGTCAGATGATAAATCTGGAGGCAAGAATGCGCTGAAGATGAAGCCATGGTTTACAGACAGACATCAAATGTAATAATATAGAGTTCTCTGAGTGATATTTACGACATTGTCGCATACACATTTCATGCATTCAAACCAATATAAAGGGATCTGGAGACCTGTCACGTCCAAAAGTTTGTCATGTCAGGATTGTCAAGTCAGATGATGTAAAGCCATCATTAATCAATAAGTTATCTTCAGAGGCAAATGGATTCAACATTCGACACATATTTAAATAAAAATGCAATTGAAAAAACAATAGCCGATCATGGCAATAAAATATCCATTGCACAAACCAATATTATATATACATTAGTTGTTAATAAATTTATTTTAATTTATATATTTTTAATATCATATAATAAAAGTTGAATTTATTATAAATAAATTCTTTCAACAATTAAAAAAGAAGAAGAAGATAAAATTAGTTTAAGTTGAAAATTATTTTCATGAATTCTCCGTTTCGTAGAAAAATATTTTAAAAAATTTATGTAATTTGGTAAGAAAATATGAAATTTAAAACAAATTGAGACCGTAGATAGAGTTGAGTGTTGAGTGTCGAGTGTTGAGAATTGAAAGTGATTTTATGAAGGCATTAATAAAGTTAAAAATGACATGATATTTTAAATTGATGAAGGATTTTTCTTTCAACATTTGATTGCATGCAATCAAACTCAAATTTGAATTTGGTGAGGGAGTAAATTATACATTAGTACTTTTAATTTTGATAAATAAATCAATTTGTTTTTTACCTTTCAAAAACTAACTATTTAAATTTTTTATAAGTGTTGAATAAGTTTAATATAATATATTTTACTTCACAAAATATTTTTTTCATCGATCTTTTCATGATGTAATTTTCTTTTTCTTTTTTTACTTTCTGTAATTTTTTTTTAAAAAAGAAAAAAATAGAAAATAACATAAAATTGAAAAAGGACTAAATAATAGGTTTTTAAAACAAAAAGGCCCAACTAATTTATTTTTGAAACTAAAAGGACTAATTTATAATTTACCCAATTAAAGCAAGCATTTGTAAACTTTTGAATTTGTGCGCGCAAGTCAGACAACCTAAAATTTAGTAGAATAATAGCGTAAATTACACATTAGTTCTTCTAGTTTTGATAAATAAATTAATTAATTCTTAATATTTCAAAAATTAATTATTTAAGTTTTTAATCAGTATTGATTAGATTTAATGTAATATATTTTATTTAACAAAAAAAATTCCTTTTTCATCAATCTTTCCATGATATAAATTTATTTATTTAGTTTTTTTCTATTTTTTAAAACAAAAAGAAAAACAAATTAGAAAATAATATAAAATGAAAAAAATTAAATTTTTGGTTTCTAAAATAAAAAGGAATAACTAAATTATTTTTTCAAATAAAAGGATTAATTTATAATTTATTTAATCAAAGCTTGCAAATGCATATTCTATGAATGAAGTCTCATTCATAATTTTAAAAAACGACCGTTACGTGATGTAATGTTAGTTATATAATGGTATTGAGACATTTTAATATCGTTATTCGATGTTATTCCAATATCATTTTACATGCATAACAATAAATAACGATATTATCATTATATAACGTCATCATTTGTCGTTATATAATAGCATTACACATATTAAAAAAATTAGAAATTTAGCAATTTCAATTACTAAAATTCAACCGGAAAGGTAGAGACCAGAGAAGCCGAAACCCAACTTGAAAAAAACCACAACCAACGTGAAGATTGGATAGTTAGTTCTTGAAACATAAGGACTCGATTAATTTATTTATCAAAACTAAGAGGACTAATGTATAATTTACTCTCTCACCAAATTCAAAAGCTTGGAGGCAACTTTTGAATTTGATTTCATGAAATCAAATGTTGAAAGAAAAAGTGCATCGATCTTTCACCAATTTAAAATATCATGTCATTTTCAAATTTATTCATGCCTTCATGATTCTGAACACTTAATAATTAACTATCTCTCATGTCTCAATTCGTTTCAAACTTCACCTTTTTTTTTTAATACCAAATCACATAAAAAAAAAATCAAATATTTGTTTAGGAAGTGGAGAATTCATAAAGGTGATTTTCAACCTAAACTAATTTTATTTTGTTAATTTTTGAAAGAATTTATTTGTAATAAATTCAACATTGTTATTTGATATTAAACTACTAGATATATATGTTATTACTTATTAATATGCTTATTAGTAAAATTGTTAAAAATATGTGAATTAGAATAAATTTATTAACGAGTTGTTAATATATTTATAATATTGGTTATTGCAATTGTTATTTTACTATCTCGATTCGCAATCATTATTATTTTTGTAACCGTCATCTGCTATTTAAAACTATAGATTAATCTTCAAGTGGTTTGGGTCTTTTTCCAAATTCGATCTCTCGCTGAATTTTAGCCGTTGAAATGGCTGAATTTTTGTTTTTTTATTCAAATATGTGTAACATTGTTATCCTCATAAAATAGTATTGGAGCACTCATAATGCCGAATAACAATAACGGTATACTCTAATACCGTTATAATGATTGTTTCTTAAAACTATGATTCTACACGAATTGAGACAATTATTATGGAAAATGATACTCAAAAATAGTAAGCAAGCATATCATAGTACGTGCCAGCTTGCACCCAAGAAAAAAACCGTCAAGATCAAGTTATAAGACAATGGAACTAGTACATTGCGCTACCTAAACTTGGTGAGAGGACCCCACGCACTGAACTTCAATTCAATAGAATTGGAAAAACAATTAATTTCATTATTAATTATGTGTACTTTTCTTTATTTATTTATTTATTTAAGTATGTGTATTTTTCTTTTTAGCATTTGAAGATGCAAGCTTTCAATTTTTTCTAGCTAAGTGCTTATATATATTGACGTAAATAAATTTTTAAATTTATTTCAAATCAAGTGTCGTATTTTTTTTATTTCAAATTTTGGACTTCTAAAGATTTATAAATAAAACGATTCGATTAAAATCCAAAGGCCATTATTCAAAGAGCATTGGTATAAAAAATTCTCATTCAAATTATTTGTTTGACTTGATCAAATACGCGTCATATAAAGATGCCAACCAAGACATTTCACAAGAACATCAACAATCAACTAACAAACTCCAACAGAGATAATTATTAGATAAAAGTTGCTAAAATTCATAAACAAGGGAACGCCATAAATAGATGAGCATAGCATTGATGGAAAGAAAGTGTTAGAAGGTTCAAAATTCGAAACGAAACAAATGCTGTTCTGAAGAGTACAACGATGACCAGTTTATGAGTTGCCAGAGCCTTATTAACGTTTCTCCCCCTCTTGTTCATTCATGAACGAAAACTCGCTGGAGCTTTTTAACGTTGAGAACTGCTCAAGTTTGTAAGAACTAAGGAGGAGCAATCGAGGCATAACAGCCGTGAATTTATAACTCCAGTTTTAAAAGAAGCTCCTGCCATCTTGGTGTCACTTCCTTAAAAATGTAGGTTAAAGGAGAAACTAAAACGCCGCTGCCTCCAATCTACATTAACATAAATAAAAGAAGTCAGATGAACTCAGTCCCTTCAGGAGGAGGGTTTGATCGAATCATTGTATCAGTCAAACATGGAGTCAGATGATAAATTTGGAGGCGAGAATGCGCTGAAGATGAAGCCGTGGTTTAAATAACGACATCAAATGTAGTAATATAGAGTTCTCTGAGTGATATTTACGATATTGTCGCATGCATGTTCATGCATTCAAACCAATATAAAGGGATCTGGAGACCTGTCAATTCCACACCTAACCAAAAGTTTGTCATGTCAGGATTGTCAAGTTAGATTATGTAAAGCCATCATTAATCAATAAGTTATCTAGAAAGACAAATGGATTTAATATTCTACACAGATTTAAATAAAAAAACAGTTAAAAAAAGGATCATTATAGTAAAATAACAATCGTACTAACTAATATTATAAATATTTTAATAATTATTAATAAATTTATTTTAATTTTTATATTTTTAATATCATACAATAATAATTGAATTTATTATAAATAAATTCTTTTAAAAATTAATAAAAAATAATAAAATTAGTTTAAATATTTGTTTAGAAAGCGGAGAATTCATAAAAATAATTTTCATTTTAAACTAATTTTATTTTGTTAATTTTTGAAAAAAATTATTTGTAATAAATTCAACTATTATTATATAATATTAAACTATTAGATATTTTTTTAAAAAAAATATATATAAAGCTTTTATTCTCGTAAGATAGTATTGGAGCACCCATAATACCGAATAACGATAAACGGATGCTCTAATATCGTTATAATGATCGTTTTTTAAAACTATGATTCGACAAGATAAAAGATTCCCACTTTTCCAACCCGGACCCCTCACGATTAGGCTTAAAGAAACTAACAGCAGGACTAAAACAATTAAAAGAGCAAGTACTCTCCCTACATTGTATATGAATCTGCTTTGGTGTATCGTGGCATTATGCTTCTATTATGCTTAGATAACTCACCTCTCTCAGCTGCTGCACGGACTGGTATAATGTCTTCTTTGGAACACATATCTTTATAGCATAGTAATCAAGGGTAACCTTTCCATTATGTTTGCAGAAAACTGGACTCACGGTAGGTCCCTGCAATAAAAAGAATTAAGTATGAGCTTGCAGATTGAAAAAATCTCAAGGGGTAGATAAGTGGTAGGCGTCTCAGCTCTCTTAGCCTCATAAGGCTTTGGTCTAGGGGTTTGAATCTCACCGTAGCCTTTTGTTAGTGACCCAAGGGATTTATTCCAGTTTTGGTAGTGTGAATATGAAGATTAGGTCAAACAAAATTACAATAAAATTCTAAACATTAAGGGGGTTTTAGTGATTTTATTTGGATTTTAAACTAAAGACAGATAGCACTTTGCTTCGGCCTCAAACCTCACCTCCAACCCAGACAAAGACGGCTGGCTTAGTACTCGCCCAGCCACTTGCTCTGCACTACTTCCTCTCATGTGTGCAGTCACCTGCCATGAAAGTGTTAAAACATTAGAACCTGAACAGGAAAGAGAATAAGGTAAGAGAAATGATGTCCATACCGTGAACTGATCAACCGCCCTCAAATGAGCCTCAAACCTTTCTAGAATCTCTTTCGTTTTGTCCCTCACACCTTTCTGTTCGACCAATGATTTTCTCCTAGCAACAAAAACGGCCTGAAGAATGTGTGAATTTTAAGGTAAGACAAAATGCGGTAAAGGCAGAATGTAAAACCAGTTATTTAAACGGGTTATGAACAGAAAAAGTAAAACCCTATTCTGACCTACAGACCTGGCTCTCCAACACAACTCCACCTTCAATTTCTTTCAAGTTGTTTTCTTTCAGTGTTGTTCCACTGCTTACGAGGTCCAAAATAGCATCAGCTATCCCCATCTAAAATAACAGAAAAACTATAATCTCAATAAATACATGTGGATACAGCACGAGCATCATTGTTCAAGAGGTGAAAGCCACAAGTGAATTGGTGAATACAGCAGATGTAAAGCTCATTAAGATTATTGTCTATGATAGTTAAATTTTTCTAGATTAAGAACTGAACTCATTGCAGCCCCACTTGGCTTAAAGAACGCTAGACCTATTCCCACTGACCGCTACTAAACAGCTGCCTATACTTTTTCCATTCTCACAGCATTTTCGAAGTAGGCATGTCAAAACGTGAAAAGCCAGATGGAAATCAATATGCTAGTCTTTGAATGTTCATAGCATTTCAAGAAGGTCAGGTCTTCAACTTTTGACTCATACCAACAAATCCAATGAAAAACAAATAAATAAAGAATTAAGTTTATGATGCACCATTTCAAAGTAAAAAGGAGGATAAAGAGGAGAAGAAGAAGAAGAAGAGGAAAGGAGGAAGACGCTTGATCTCCATGCAAACGTGTGGATACAGAGCATCATCATAAAAGATAAGAAAGTTTTAAACTAGAAGCAAGAGACACAGCCAGTAAAGTGTAACTATACTGGATCAAGTTATGTAATCTTTTCTGGATTAAGAACTGAAATCTTGACCTTATCAACTCCTGTTGTCTGACTAAACCACTAGGAAAAACAGTTTAACCATGAAGATGTCAAAATGTAGAAATTAGGAATGGAATATTCTCACTTCAGTGAAATTACAGGTCAACGGATGTTCATAGCTAGTGAAGACAGTCGCATTCCTTAAGTCTTTCCTCAGTTGTTAATAATTTAATGAGCAAAATCAAAAGGAAAGACATTCTCGTATAAAAGCAAAGTCAAGCATGAGCATGTCTCATACTATTCGCTTATGCAGATAAAAGCGAGATTGATAATATAAGTATAATGTAGTGGAGGGGTAACATAAGAACTGTATATCTACTACAGCCTGCCGTATTGTGGTGAATATAAATCAAAATTATCTCCCAAGAACTTTGGTGGGACAAGAAAAAAAAAAGGGTTTCTTCCCTATTTTTCTTTGCATCAATGCACCAAACTAGAAAGAAAGTTAGATTTCTAAAATTCTCTTTCTAATATTTGCAAAGATAAAGTTTATTATAAAAATCCAAATAGTTAAATCCTATTAAAAAAATCAAATAGGTAAGGACAAAAACTAAGCAAAAATAAAGAAATCTAACAAAAAAAGGGTTGGGGCACTTTCTAATCTGTGAAAAGATTGTGTTTATTATAAATTCAAAACAGTTGAGGCCTGTAACGCAAAAGAAAAGAAATCTAACAAAAAAGAGGCAGAGAAAGTAGCAGTGTATATCTTCAATATGTAATAGTAGTAAATATATGACATGCATTAACGGTATAAAAAAGCTTACAGTACCTGGCAACATTGTGCCATGACTTTTCAGTCAACATCTTATCTAAAATATCAAATCATTTAAATTAATACTATTAGTTTGGAAAAAAGTGATTCACTTATGTTAAAGAACATTCGTTTCTCACAGCAGGAGCAGCTTCCAGTGCTCCATCAGCAGTTGAAAATGTCACATGCATGAACCCATTGTCCTTCATAAATTTAGGACCCAGCTGTACAGAAAGGCAAAAGATAATTAAATTCAAATGGAAACTCTTCATCAAAGGCAAATGCAAGAAAAAATGTTCCCAGAAAGCATTCATCATGATATGTTATAATAAAGTTATCATACGTGAGTGAAGCCAGTAGCTACTCGTAGAGGTTTCGCAGCTGTCCATTGAGGCATTTGTGCTAGCTCCCTCAGTGAATTTATATTTTCAAATATCCCATAATTAGGAATCTGAAACGGAAAAAAAAACGCCTTATTTATGATGAAAACTATGAGAAAACTAGCTTCAGAAATTCAAATTGACTATACGTAGGAAATGGAAAAACATACTGCAAGGGATAAATGGCAATCCCCGTATCCAAGAGCATCGTGAACAATGATAAGGTCTTCATTTCCCTGACAAGAAGTTTTGAGTTGAATAATAAGTTTCCAATGTTAATGCACCGTTTAATCAACAGAAACAAGCTTGGAAAACGAATGAAATAGAAAATGATTTGCATTTCTACAACCGTATACTTTTTTTCAGATTAAAGCAGAGAAACAAAATTTGAATTCACCAGGTCAAGAAACACACAGTTGACTGAAGTTTGGCCTACATTTTTTAAATCAACTAATGCTGGATCTTAAATTTGCGATATCCAGCTTTGCAGTAAGAGTCTATGGCCCCACCACAGTGTCTAAGGCCTACTATTTTGCAAGTTTAGATCTGTTCAACTAGCAATCATCATTGACAACAGCAACACTCGAGAACCCTTGATATGATTGAGATTCGACCATTAGCAACATTTGCAGCATTTCCCATGTTTCAGCTGTTCGCAATTTAAGAAACGAAAAACGAAGAAAGATGTTTTAAGAATCATCAGTTTAAACATGCATCTAGTGCAGCATTTCAATTTATCTTCAAAAGAAGGAGATGTTTTAAGAATCAAACAAGAACACATGCCAATGATTTCCAGAGCTGAATTTCAACGGCAACATTTCAAAAACACATAAAACCAGTTGTCTCTATGAGGTTAAAACTAAAAAGGGGAGAAGAAGATTCAACGATATCTAATGAATTAACTCGCTAAAAGATCCAAAGAGTAATATTCTTTGTATGTTTTGATTAATACACAAAAGGGGTGAGTGTCTTCTTCGGCTTGGATCTCATAAATATTCAGAAACCCAAAGGAAAAGAGAGGGAGAGAGATAGCTGTAGAAGAGCTAGCCACTGCTTACCAGTCCATATTCACTGAAAGTATCAAAACCCACAATTCCAAGGTCCAAATCTCCTGACAACAACTTTCTTACAATGTCCTTGGGTCGTTGAAACCACACTTCCAAGTTGGAAAGCTGTACAAGAGTCAAGAGTAGTAGTATATGCATGTTTATCCTATATATTAATCAAGTTACCATTTTAAGAGAGGTGAGATGAAAAACCTGAGGAATTTCTGCAACGTATTGTCGAGGATTGACTTGCTCCACCAACAATTGACAATCCTTAACCCAATAATAATCAAAAACTATTCATTTATCTATGTGTGAGGAATTATAACGTGGGGACAAAACAGAAAATTGGAGAAGACAGCAGACAGCATGTACTGATGTATATTACATTACGTTACCTTAAGGAGATCGAGAGTGTCGGCAGCCATGCGTCCTTTACTAGGCAAACCGAAACGAATCACTCTCCTCTCAGCCAGTAAACTAGGACTAGTAGTAGTAGTCTCACTCTTCCCATTAACAACAACAGATAGCTGCTGCGACAAGCAACAAGCAATGCTGCTTCTGCTGCTTTTCCAAATGCATTGCCCTCTTCGTCTTTGAGAGAAGGAGACATGGAAACACAGAGGGAGAGGAATGGCGGAAGAGAGAGGAGAAGGGCATTGCTGTAAATTCGGCTGTTGGGGTCGCGACAGAGACATCTCTTACACTCACACGCACACACACAACTAGCTAGAAACCTATTATATGTGTCCTTTTCTTTTCCTTTTTTGTCTCTCTGGAAATCGAAGAGACAGAAAGAGATAGAGAGTAGGGACTAGTGAGTGTGAGATTCAGCGAATGGAGAAAGAGACAGAGATTAAAAGGGGTCGAGGCAGGAAGGAAGATGCATATACGGTGATTGATTCTATTGTCTTTCTGCTCTCTTGTCAGCTACGCTTCTCGTCCGAACTCGGAAGAAGAGTAAATTATAAATTAGTCCCTGTGGTTTTGATAGACGAATTAATTAACCTTTTCTGTTTCAAAAACTAATTATTTAACTTTTTTTAATCTCTTTTATGCTCTTTTCTTCTTCCTTTGTAATTTTAAAAAGATAAAAAAATGAAAACATAAATAGATAGTATGAAAATATTGATGAAAAAATGAAATTTTTTAAATAAGATAATATCAAATTAAGTATGATCAAAATTAATCAGGTGTGAAATATTAGTTTTATAAACAAAAGAGATTAAATAATTTTTTAAAAAAAACTAGAAGGACTAATTTATAATTTGCTCTCGTAAGGAAAAACAAACTTTTATGGTGAGCACCACGTTCGTCAAAACATCTTCAAGTTGTATATAGTCAAATAATCGAGCCTCCCCCGCCATCGATTATAATAAACAATCATTAATATGATTCTCGTGATTATTAAAAAAAAAACTAAAGCACATGGTGAGAAACTATTTTTAGACTGTTTAAATGCCTAAATTTACTATTCTTTTTTTTTTTTTTTGTCTTCTTTTCCGCATGCGGCAACTTGCCCTAATAAAGTTGTCTTTTTGTCCGCCCTTATATTTTTACCTTATTTTGTTCTTCTTTTTTTTAATGCCATTTGTTGTTGTGTTGTTTTACCTCTTTGGCCCTTTGTTTCTTTCTTTTCATTTCTTTGTTATTTCCCTTTTTCGTAACTTTCTCTTTTTATCCCATGCCGTTTAATGTTCCAACATGGTGGTGCTGCAAGAACCTTATTTTGCTTGCAAATGATTGATGCATGTTTTTTTTAATTGTTTAACTAAATTGTCTTTATTTTTAATCGTAAATGAATTTATGGTATCCTTGCTTCTTTTTCTAATATTAATAAAAGTGCTTTATACTTGGTATTAATATATTTAAAGTAAAATATAATAAAAGTTTACGTCTATTGATTGATCAGGAATGATTTTTAAACAAATTATTCAATACAAATAGTTTTTAAATAAAATTTGAAGTAAAATTAAATCCTTCTATTGAATAGGATTAGATTTCTATCCAATTTGGATTAATTAAATATCACATGCTTAGTATATGATATCCGAGCTCATTTAATAGAAAAATCAATTAAAAAAATCACATGTTTTTTTTCTTCTTCTTTATATAATTAAAATTTATCGAAATTAATTTTATTGTTTTTTATTTAGTTCTATTAATTTTAACATATTCCTTGCAATTTATTTATTTTTTTAATATTTTTTATTTATACTGCACATTCTAAACCTACTCGAATATGGTCATGATATATATATATATATATATATATATATATATATATTGAGATAATTGGTTTTATTAGAAATTAACTATGCATCTACATACATATTATAATACCAACCATTTGTTATTATTATTTTAATATTCTAAGATCAATTTTTTTTTTAAATAAAATAATTAAAATAATATTTTAGGAGAACCATCCAATGATCAAACACAACTTTTTATACTAATATTATTGATTATTTTGTAAATAAATATATATATATATATATCCTCTCATCAAAATTAAATAAGAATGAAAAAAAATTGTTAATTTTTATACAAGTTTTTATATTAATTGTTGCTTTATTTTTTCGATACAATATATGAAAAAAATATTAAGGGATTTAAAAAAAAATTGATTTAATATTCTATTTAGATTATTGCAAGTTTTTATTTAAAAATCAATACATAAAAAATAAAAAATCACGTTTTTTAACTACAAAATTAATGGGAAAAAATGAGAAAAAATAAATTATAAAATTATATATTTTTTTTACCTTTAATTTAATATATATTATCATACATGTAATATAACACAAATTATCAAATTAAAATTATTTTTTAAATAATTTCATATATTTTACTTGACCTGCAACATAATGCGGACAGGTAACATGATAACAATATGGGCATTGGCCCCATGGCATGTACTTGATAGTGATGAATAATGAAATCATATCTTGCCTATGCATATATTATTGCATTTTAAATAATATTAATATTAATATTATAAACTAAAATTAAATGTAGTTTTATGGTGACTAAACCTCCTTTTGGGCTTTGTGAATTTTTGTTTTGATTTGTTTTGATAATACTTTGACATGTCCTTATATAATGGATCGAATTTCATTTCGTCTTTATTAAAAAAAAATCGTCTCCAATATGTCATTATAATTTAAGCTGATTTCTAATCTATCATTTTAGTTAGAATTTGGTAAAATTTTCGATCAAATCAAGCAAATAATTTACGTATGGTATGTGATTTATCAAAATTATCTTTATTATTTAATTTGACACAAATGATCTATATCTACTAATGTGAATATTAAATTTTGAAAATTGGTTGAAAATTTTGACCAAAGGACCCTAGTTTTGCTTCTTCGGGCCCACGATAGTTTTTTTTTTTTTTCGCAATTTAGGTTTATTATTATTACTATTATTGAATTGGGTGCGAAAATTATGAAAAAAAAATCACTTTTTTTACACATTCTCACAATTGTGAAACATATATGATGTTTTTTTTTTTCAAATTTTAGAATATACATATCTTCAATTTGCGTTATGAAAATTATCGTCAATTTTTTTTTCTTTTTATGTATTTTTTTTGTTAATAAATATGATTTATTTTTTTAAATGTATGAAATTTTGAATTAATTTTCTTTTAAAATAAATCATCAATTAAATTATAAAATTCACATGTTTTATTTTCTTATTCTCTATACAATAAAATTTTATCGAAATAAATTTTATAGTTATTTTTATTGCACTTCATTAACTTCAATATATTTCTTACAAATTATTTTCTTAAATACTTTGTAATATATGTTGTACACTTTAACCCGTTGGGTATGATCATGATGATTAAAAAATTAAAATAATTGGTTTTATTAAAAAATATATATGCATTTGCACGCATAAAACCAATAATGTACGTTTATTTTTTTCAAATATTCTAATATTAATTTCATTAAATTAAATCAATTAAATAATAAAATTCATGTGTTTTATTTTCTTATTTTCTATATAATAAAATGTTATCGGAATAAATTTTGTAGTTATTTTTATTGCATTTCATTAACTTCAATATATTTTACAAATTATTTTTTTTAAAAGCTTCAAAATTTATATTATACATTCTGACCCATTAAGTATGGTTATAATGTATAAAAGGAATTAATATTACTCGGTTTCATTAAAAATTATTTGTGCATCTACACGCATAACACCAATAATTTACATTTAATTTTTTTCAAATGTTCTAAAATTAATTTCTTTAAGATAAATAAATCAAAATAATTTTTTAAAAGAACCATCAATAGTTTAGATGAATATTTTTTATACTAATATTATTTATTATTCTACAAATAAATATATATAAATCAAATGTATATATTTTCAAAAACATAAAAAAAAATAATTCATTTGTTAATTTTTATACAAGTTTTTATATTGATTTTTTTTTTATTCAATGCAATCTTATGAAAACTACTATTAAGATATTTTTCTTTTTAATTTTCAGTTGATATTATCATAGGTTTTTATTTAAGAATTGATGAATAACGAAAAAAAAATCATGTTTTTTTAAAAACAAACAATATGAAAAATATTAAAAAGAAAATACTAAAATTTGATTAAAAATAGAAAATTAGATGATTTTGTTTCTTTCAATTCAATATATTTTAGTACATTCGTGACATATCGTATACTATCAGCTCAAATAATTTTTTAAAATAATTTTATCAATTTTATCCGACTCGCAAGTATAGCGCGAGTAAACATATAGTTATTACTAATCTCAAAGTAACCTACAAAAATATAATATGATGCTAAAATTCACCCATTAATAATTATACCCCACCCAAATTACTAAAAATAACTACTTATTTTATGACAATTTTAGCATCGAGAGAATATTTTCAAAACCCAAAATATTTTTGATGTTGAATTAAAACTTTACTTTTGGTTAACTTAGTGCTAAATTTATTTTAGTATTTTGGATAATAATCTTATTGTCCCGTGTAAATTAGATAAAATGTTAAGGCTTCTTCTTAATTTATAGATTTGTGATAAACACATAGGCCACTTCATCATCAAACAAGGCAAGTTTTTTATCGTTATTATTTTGATTTAATAGAAAGAGGTGTATATCTTTTGACTAGTTTGCCGATTAATTGAAACTAAATTCTCTTTTTAAACGATTTTAAGAGTATAATCTATACCGGTTTAGTGCATTCAAAAATTTAATAAATTCCGTGGAGTTTTGGCTATAAGGTTTCGAATCCAGTACAAGAAATAAAGCATGCCTCTTAACTATCAAGTGACTTCGTGGACAATAACACTACTAAAAATGAGAATTTTATAAGCAAGTCCTACTAGTTTTTGAAACTATAGATTTAAGCTCCTATAGTTTTAATTTGTTTATAAGCTGATCTACTCATAATTTTATGTTTTTTTTTTTCTATTTAAAGGGTGCAAGTTGGAAAAATTGATTGACAAAGAAAGCATTTTTTAACAAAAATAGTTAATCATAAACTAATCTTTATAGATTATCAAAATGAACTATAACTCCTTTAATAGGAAATTTTTTTACAATAGCAATTGTGGTTTTGTATATGTTAATAACTTAGCCCCTCTATCATTTTCTTGTCAATGGAGCCATAACCCATCTAAAATCTAGTGGTTTTTATTTAAAAAATACAATTCTTTTTAAAAATTTTAAAATTTTACTCATAACAAAATCAAACAAACCAATAAAACTTAACCTAATCTATTTTTATTGCCATTGATCATCACTACTTGTCTGTTTTAAACTATTACATAAAAACCAATAAAACATGATACACACCACCACAACTAAACATCTTTTAGCTCGTAAATTAGCAATGCCAGGATTTCTTTTTACAAAATCTACTATTACAGTGGATGAAGATGAAATGAAGGTTTTTTAACCTTGAGAAATTAGGTATTTTTGAGAGAGGAAGTGGCCCTTTAAGCATTTTAAAAAAGAAATATCGTATTTTAATTCAGAATTGGTGCACCTTACGAAAATAAAACAAATATGCCAAAAAGTGCACATTCAAATGAGCAAGAAGAATTAAGCAAGGTGGAAGAATGAGGATTCAAGTTTAGGAAATACAAGGTTTTTCGACCCTATGTTCTCAAAGAAATCCAAACCAGATCAGTACCCCAAATTTTCTTTTCCATTGAAGATTAATGAATGAATTGATGGTATGAACGAAGTAATAATTCAACTTGAATAAATTAATTGATTTGGTGAATAATCATTAACAGCTATTCTTTGAGCTTCATAGCTTATAATGCAAACTACGATAACTATGATTTTCTCTTGTGAGATACGGAGGCAGCCTTTCACAAGAGCAAGCCAAGATCTTAAATCCTTGTTCTTCTCTCTTATTTTGATTTTTTTTTCCCTAATTTGATAAGCTTTTTTATGGTTTCTTTAAAATTAAATGATTAGGTTTATGTTTATGTTTAGAATGTTTATTTATGTCTGCCTTAAAACATGCATGCTTATAGTGTTTTACTTAATTCATGCTAGATTACATTTATACAATGATTATTAGAAGCATTTTTAGGGTTATGTTGTGATGTTATTATGTCCAACTTGCAATATAGATTGATGAAGTATGATTTTTTGTGATATATGATGATATTCGTGTCATGTTCTAAAAATTACAAAAATTACATACCATGTTCAATGATGTTTTTATGCTTGAATTGTTATTAAAAATGCATGATAAATATTAGGATTTGCTTTGGTTACACTTTATTAGCTGATTTTTTTATGTTTTTCTTTACTATTTGAGCATTTGTTTTTAATTTAGCATGTTAGGTGTTGACGTGTTTCTATCTTAGTGGTGCGGATTTGATAGCGGTGGGTTTGGCACAGGTGTAGATTGGAATTGAATAAAATTGATGTCGTGTATTGATTTTAAATTGGATAGATGAGGTGTTATCTGGTATCGTCACGATTTTATGTATTTTGTTTTTTTGTAGAAAAAAATCTAAAAAATTTGTTTGATAGCACTATTATGTTTACTTTTTCTGTGAATAAATTTAAAAATTAAAACAAGTTTTTAAAAACAACAACAAACAATTATCAATTTAGTTTTTAATTTATAAAATATCACGTTATTTATATCACTATCTCCGTGCAAACACCACAACCATTCGTATGACCTTGTTATCATTATCATGACAATGACCACAACTATTATCACTTTTATTTTACTTTTCTACCATTATCACTATCACGGTTAATATGACCATCATTTTTATTTCATTTATTCACCATTGTCAGCTTTTTCAACATCATTATCATTATAATTAACTCCAAGGATATTAAAATCATTATCTCCATAACCTTTATAAATATAATATTATTATATTTTTTGATTTTTTAAAAACAAAAAACCAAAAATGTTACCAAACAATCTCTAAAGTTACAATTTTTTTTTCACAACGGTTTTTTTAGATTCACTTTTTATTTCTTTTTAGCTCCAAGAATTCGAAAATCTTAATTACACTTATCCCTAAACCTTTTTTTTCTTTTTCGATTTATTAATTTTGATTTCTAATTTTTTTATTAAGATCCATTTTTATCACATGTCACAATATAATGTATGCATCAGAGCCTAATAAAATAAATTGACAAAATACACTCGAATAGAAAATAAATAAAATGTCGGTAACTTAAATAGATAAAAAAAAAAGAGGCATTCGTATAAAAATAATAAAAAAATGATAAAGACTGGGCATCAAACATGCATTTTTCATTGGACCACTTTCTACGTGTTACGAGATAATGTATGCATCAACACTTAACGGACTCGGTTAACAATAAACACTCAAATAAACTAAAAAAATAATAAAATAATCAGAGATTAGTAATTCAAATTGATAAAATTGAAAATGAAACAGGCAAATGGAGAAAAAAATAATAAGAGGATATACATGACATAGTAAGTTTTCTTTGTTTAGAAACGTCCCTCTAGATTCTCTCATTTCTTCGCCTATTATTTGAGTAAATTATAAATTAATCCCTCTTGTTTCGAGAACAGAATTGATTAGTCCTTCTCGTTTCAAAATCTAATCATTTAGTTCTTTTTGTTGTTTTTTAATTTATTTTGATTTTTATTTTAAGAAATAGAAAGGAAAAAATAAATAAAAATTATGAAAATATTGATAAGAAGAAAATACATTTTTATAAAATAAAAAATATCAAATTAATCATGATCAATATCGATTAAACATATTAAATAATTGAGTTTTGAAACTAAATGGATTAATTAATTCGTCTCTCGAAAAATACTAATTTATAATTGATTCCCTTTTGTTTATTATGCTATTTTCTATTTCTAACGGAGATTTTTGGACCTCCATGTCCTATATTAAGAAAATTTTATGTTTTAACGATTATAGAATGTAAAGTGTAGAAAGATCAATGTACAATCAACCCTCCTCCATTTCATGTTTGAAGTCCGAACCCACCATTCTTCTTATTATGATCTTAAAAAATCAAATATAATCATGATATATTTGCAATTGTATTTTGAATTTGAAATTTGAAATAATCAAAATATCAACTAGTTAAAAAATTATTAGTGAAAAATAGAGTAAATCATAAATTAATATTTATAGTTTTCCAAAAAGAATTAAGTAGTCCGTTCAGTTTTCAATATTAATAAATTGGTCCTTATATTTTTATATTTATTTGGAACTTAATCATTTTCATTCCTTTTTAATTTATTTTTTGCTTTTGTTTTAAAAAATAGAAAAAAAATAACGATAAAAATAAGAAAATATTGATGAGAAGAGAATATATTTTCTGAAACAATATAAATTAACTATAATCAATACTGAATTAATTAGTTTTCGAAAAAAAAATTTCAATTTGTTTTGTAAATATAGAGGGACTAATTTATAATTTACTCGTGAAAAATATGACTAAAAAGCAAATGAAATTAACAAAATTATAAATAATTAAATTGTATAAATAAATAAATAAAAAGCTGTAGGATGGTGTGCAGCAGTCATCAAGCATGAGTCGGAAAACAGTCAGGTTTTGGTAAAACTAATCCAAAATACATTCCATCTCTCTCCCTCTCTCTCTCTAATCTTCCCAGCTAAGAAATCTCTCTCTCTCTCTCTACAGACAGGAAACAGCTGGATCCATCACCCACTCTCTCTTTCTCTACGCGCCGACACAATCGGCAATCTCGTAGATCCACTCCTTCTAACTTCAACCCGAGTCAACAATTACTCTGACTTCACTCAGCTAGGAAATCTGATCTAATTTTACTTGAATCGAGGAAATCTATGCTTTGTATGCAGTTTTTACTGTTGTGACTCAGTCCGAGTAGGAACTGAGTTTGGTACCACAATTACAGCATAAAGAAAGAAATGGTGGTGTTATGATAAAGTAACAGAAAATTAGGGTTTTTGTTTTTCCTATATAATTTTGGCGATGGAGAGTGGGAGCTGGAGAGACTCGTACAGGGGGATGTCCTCTGATAATATTAAGGGATTAGTATTGGCACTGTCTTCCAGCGTCTTTATTGGTGCTAGTTTCATTGTCAAGAAGAAGGGCTTGAAAAAAGCTGGTGCCTCCGGTATCAGGGCAGGTATCGTTCTTTTTTCTTGAGTATTGTTTATGCAATAATGGATTGGGAAATCTCATCAAGAGTTATTCATTTGGCTTCTCTCTCTCTCTCTCTCTCTCTCTCTCTCTCTCTCTCTCTCTCTTCCTTATTTAAGAAGTATTCCTAGTATGCTAATGGTTAGATTAGGACTTCTGCCAAGTTTCAAGTTTCAAGTAGATTCCAAGCTCATGATATCATTCTAGACTAGGACTTAAGGGGATATATTTTTAAGATAATTGAATTCCGAATTTGAGATTCAATTTATTGTTATTGAAAATCTGTTTGAATTCTTGGAAGTTTGGGAAAATGGGTTTATGAGGAGTTAATAAGATCTATATTTCTTTGTCATTGCATTTTACAGATTGCTTGCATTGCATTCCCTTTAGGACGGTAACTCTACTTCCATGCATTTGGATAAGCTCCTTAGTTTCATAATGAAGTAAATATTATTGTATAACATTAGTTTTGAGTCCATCAATGCATACGAATTTGTTATTTATAAAATTGATGTGTTACTTTTTGTGTTAACATGTTTTGAGATTTATTATGTTCTCCTTGGCAGAGGAGCCAAGCAGTTACTTTGCAAAACAGCTTATGGAATGCATAAGCCATGATTTAGTGCTTGCTTTGATATTGTACGCTTCACAGTGTGCTGTTATGCGTGTAACGTGAATGTAATTCTTCCCAAATTGACTTTGTTGGCTTTAATTCACAGGAAGTGGAGGTTATTCTTACTTATATGAACCGCTCTGGTGGGTGGGCATGATAACAAGTAAGTTTTACCATCATTAAAATGTGGTTGTTTCTCTTTTACCACAATGTTTTTTACTTATATTTACTGTTACGAATTGTAAAAGATAAGTCAAGAGTTTTCCGTATTGGTTATATGGATAGTTACTTTTACTCGTGAGAAAATCCAATCTAATGTTTGATGTTATTTCAACAGTGATTGTCGGGGAAATTGCTAATTTTGCAGCTTATGCATTTGCACCAGCTATACTGGTCACTCCTCTTGGTGCTCTCAGCATTATTATCAGGCATGATAGATCATCACCCACAACCTAATTTATATTTCTCATTTAGTTCTTAACATTTCGTTGGTTTGCAGTGCTGTTCTTGCACATATCATTTTACGGGAGAGATTGCATATTTTTGGAATTCTTGGTTGTGTTCTCTGTGTTGTGGGTTCAACAACAATTGTGCTGCATGCTCCTCAAGAACGTGAGATTGAATCTGTAAAAGAAGTTTGGGATCTCGCTACAGAGCCTGGTAATATATTTGCTTGTCTTTGCTGCTTCTATCTATGGTAGTGATAATGTAAAAAATGGACATTAATCATAATTTTAACTAACTAAGTTGCAAAGAAATGTGCTTAAGAAACAAACCTTTATCCTTTTTTTTCAGCTTTTCTGTTCTATGCCGCTTTGGTCATTACAGCTGTATTCATTCTCGTATTCCACTTTATCCCTGACTACGGCCAGACGCATATAATGGTTTACATTGGTGTTTGTTCTCTCGTGGGCTCTCTGTCGGTATGTATTGTTATATTGTTGTTGGTTATTGCATTGTTTGCTTTTGTGAGGTCTTTTGTAAGTGGCTTTCTCAAACTTTGATGTTTGACAGGTCATGAGTGTTAAAGCACTTGGAATTGCGTTGAAGTTGACACTGTCAGGAATGAATCAGCTAACATATCCACAAACATGGGTCTTTGCTATTGTTGTAATCACTTGTGTGCTTACCCAAATGAATTATTTGAACAAGGTAGCAGCTGTTTCTTGTCCGTTCTCTTGGTTATTTTTTTCATGTGCTTATCACATGATATCTATTTAAGTATCTCATTATACTTTGGATCATTTATTCAAACCTCCTCTATGATAAGATCCTGGAAACTTGGTGGATGCTGTTACCTTCTAATGAAATTAATAATTTTCTTATTACACCTTGAGTTATTAAAATTTGTCCTGTCATGATACTTTCTACTTTTCTAAGATGATGGAACATGGGAAAATATGAGTTTTTTTATCATAATGCAAATTTATGGCCTTTCACTTCGTTGAGGAAGTTTTAAGGCATCATGCCTTTGCTTTTGTCTTGCACTTAATCAGGCTGAAAACTTCTGGGATCCGTATTCAAAAGGATGGAAGGGCATTGTATCAGAAAAGAACCCTGGAGGAGATGATAAATGAAGAGTTTAGGACAAAGAGATATTAATTGGGAATAGCATCCGATTTTTTTATTTATTTTTTATTTGGTTTATCATGTGACTATTAATCCAATACTTTGTATTATATGACCATGAGGAACTTGAAGGAGAGCATATAGAGTGAAGAGCATATATCCTGCGAGTTTGTCCAAGGGACTGCCATACTATCAAAGGCATCCTTACTGTAATTGGAATTTTGTTTGCATGTCAAGAGAATGGCTTCAACCTCCAATCAACTCATTGTGTGGAGTGATTTTATCTCTTTATTAAATCTCTTAAAACTATATAGTGACGCTTCATCTGATTGGTCTTCATCCTTCATTTGTCATTTTGGATCTTGCTCTTGTGGTTGATTCAAATGGATAAACGGTCAAGTTTGCAAGGATTAGCATTATCAGGATAGAGGATATTTTTTTTTTTCCTCGGCTGGTGATGTGGTGTTCCCAATCTATGGTCCTTGATGTACAAGGCTTTGGAGCAATGTCAAGGCGCAGAATAATTTAAGCTGACAGAATTGCCAGGGTTAGGGAAAGATGGATAATGGAAATCAAAGGTGCTGGTATATTTGAGAGTTGGTAGAACTGTTGTGTATAAAAGTGATTGGAATTCATATTAGAGGATTGGATCATTCTCTTATCGTGGATGCTATTTATTGGTGGTATCAAAAACCCTGTATGATGTGGGAATTCTGAATTCTTAATACAATGGATTCTGCTCTTGATAATAATGCTTTTCTATATTGGCTGGTATGAGTAAATTTGTCTCTAGCTGCATATAGAAACCGCGTGGGTGTCTGTTGGGGGGAGGCGGGGGGATGGGATGAGGGTTGGGATTCCTATTTCACTGGAACTTGGGAGCTGTTGAAACTTGGCTTGTAGCAGAGTATCTTTCGGTCTTTGTATTCTCTTCCCAGGGGATGGATGAAACATTTCAGAAGATGTGAGGACTTATATATTAAATAACTTTATTTTATTTGGTGGTGATAAATAAAACTGGATAAGCTCTTGTGTAGTCATTTGATCACAGGGGTACTTCCTCTGTCCAGATATTATTGTCCCCTTTTGTGGTTTTTGTTGACGTTGCAAAGAATGTCGTGATCCTTTTTCTCCATTTGGGTTGGCTGCATATTGAGTATGTGAGACAAATATAACATGTTCTGTTTTAAACTGATTTCCATCAGTTTGTCTGGTGCCTAGAAATGTAACTTTGGCTTAAATGACTTTGTGTAGGAGTTATGTTATCTTTCCTTGATGAGGTTGCACCTAAAATTAGGATTTGCTCAGTAGTTGCATGGGATTTGCATCAAGTAACTTCTTGAATTTTACGAATTGCTTCTTTTTTCATTTTATGCAAATTTATTTTATTATTTTTGGCAACAGCTTTCTCATTCTCCTCTGATTTTATTTTTGGTTTTTCCACTGCAGGCACTCGACACTTTCAACACTGCTGTTGTTTCTCCTATATACTATGTTATGTTTACATCACTGACAATTTTGGCAAGTGTAATCATGTTCAAGGTATACTTTTCTGCATACTGAGAAAGCACTCTGTTGCTTTGTTAACTTGATCTGAATTTTAATTGTCTGCATTTGAATGTGCTATTCAAAGGGTGAAATTTGATGCTTTTTGGGTGCATTTGGATGGTTTTGATATGAAGATTTCAAAACCATCAAAAAGCGGATGAAATTTGCTGCTTTTTTGGGTGCGTTTAGCTGATTTTGATATGAAGATATCAAAACCATCAAAAAGCACCCAAAAAATCATCAAATTGATGCCTTTTCAGCCCAAATGTGCTTTTGCCAAAGCACCTACACTGCATTACCTAACAAAGACTAAAACAGTATGATTGAAATCTGTTGCCTTTATTGACTTGTCAAACGCATGGAATTTTAACCCCCACTCTGCAACCTCTCTCTCGTCCTTTTGGTCTGATCCCATTCCAACCGGTTGGTGATTGGACAATTGAACTTTAACTTTTCAGCATTTATTATTTTCTGTTTGATAATGGCTTCCCCATTATTTTCAGAATAAAGATCAATGAAAGAGTCCTGAAGAGGCTTGGTGAAGGAAAAATAGGCATATAGTTGGTGGTTTTTATTTCCACCACTGAGCCATCTTTGCTCCTAAGGATAGAATATGGAAGAAAAATGATAGAATGTGGAAAAAAATCCACATGGTGCCTTTTTTGTGGTCTACTGGTGTTTAGAATCTTTCAGGGATCTGTTCTTTAATTTTCAAGTCCATCGCGATTAGACTTGATAATTTTTAGTCTGATTTTACACTGTTTTAGTTGTTTTGCAAATTTGTGGTTGATCATGAATAAACATTCTTGAAATATGTGTTGTTTTTTTTTTAATCAGGATTGGGATAGGCAGAGTCCAACTCAAATAGTCACTGAAATGTGTGGGTTCGTGACCATCCTTTCAGGAACATTTCTTCTTCACAAGACGAAGGATATGGCTGACGGTATATGCCCTCTCTATTGTTATAATTGTAACCATTATTAGTATTTCCTACCCATGCCCTTATCTCCCACCAGCCCTTGATATGTGTTGACATGGTTTCTAATTGCATGATTTATGGGAGATCCATGCGAGTATTTTTGGAATTCTTAACCTCTGATTGATGTTTTGAAATGACATGTAGGATCTCCATCTCTGCCTGTGCGTCTCTCTAAGCACGCAGAGGAGGATGGCTTTGGTTCTGAGGGCATTCCTCTTAGGCGGCAGGATTCATTGAGATCACCATAAAATTCATTTAGTACTTGAGCTCATCTCTTCAATCACAGTGAATCGGGCTCTTTCGGGGAGGGATCATCACCTGTACTTTTTGAAATCCATTTTCGTTTTTGTTATACATTACAGGCAAAGAAGGGAAGGTGAAATTTTTCTCTTCAATCTTCCTGTTATAGGTGAGAGAGTGCTTCAGTTGTTGCCTTGTATACAGTCTCCCCATTCACACGGAAAGAATTGGCCAATGTAATTTTGGAGCTCATCAGTAATATAGTGCATCGTTGTTCCAATTTGTCCAGAAAAAATCTCCATCTTCCTTTTGTGTTGTAGGGAAGCAAATTTCCACTTGACCATCAAACCAGCCTCAAACCTGACGCAGCAAGTCATGATGCTTTATTTCTACTTACCTTGAGGTCCTTGACCAATAACTTTAAGCCTTTTTAATTTGGTTCTTTTTGTGTCCAAGATGGTATTGATCAACGCATGCTTTACTGGTTCTACGAAATTGGTGGTGGAAAGGAGCTAAAAGTATACGAGGTGTTCCGTTAATGGAGGGGAAAATATTGGAGGCTCATTATCAAATCTTGAAACCCTAAAGAACTAATGTCAAATTTACTACATATTTTCACCATGTTCACAAATTGATTGCAAGTTCTTTATTGTCTCTATCCAAATAAATGAAAAGCTGTGTAAGACTTAACATCTGAATTCTCGAGTTGCCATTACTATTTTTCCTTAAAGTTCAATCCAACGTTGTGATTCAAACATGACCCACAAAATTGTCCAAAGTGCCAAATTTCAGTTATGAAAGCAGTTTAACATGGTATTAGCCTTTAATATGCTACTCAGCGTCCAGTGGACAGGAATATGAACATTTCTACTGACTGTGGTTCTTAATTCGTACAAGCCTTGTTCTTATTTTCTATTCAGAAAAATATTCTCTGGAATGCTTGTTTTACATCTGGCATAAATACAAAACTTATTGTTTTTGTGGATTCCCATTTTGCAATTCTCATGTAAAATTTTGATGCTGTTGTATTCCTCTAGAAGAGAACAGACAGGGCAGCGATCCCTTTCCTTTCCTCCCGTTGGCCATATGAAGATTTTTGCCTCACTTAGGCTTCTGCTTCAGAAGGCCAGACACCGAAGCACAATGCGTTGACTTGTAATCGCATTTCTCACAGCAAGACTGCAGATTTTCTATCACTTTAAGGCACCTAGACAATTTCAGGATCCTAATCAGAAACTATACATCAGTAGCATAGGATTGCGCAAGTGAAAGTTTGACAGTTATTCAATATATAGATGTACTGGATTATGATAATGAATAGAAATAGATTGCAGAGACATTATAGCATCCAGTTAACAAGGTCTTCTAGCACATAGAGGTTTGCTTTAACAAGCCACCAGATAAAGTGAGAGCTCCAGAATGATCCAGCTAGATACCAAGGAGGTGATAGCAATATCAATCTCTACACTACAAAACTGGTGACTGGTTCATTTTATGGGATCAATATCAACAATAATCTCTACTCTACAGATTCTCAACGTCATACATAGCACTACTTGTCAGCAACAGTAACTGCTTCCTCATCCTAATAGATAAGAGTAATGCCAGCATCAACTAAGTTGGAGAGTCACCTGCCATCTGAAAACTAAATTACTAGTAGGCAAAAACAAAGAAATGACATAGCAAAAGAAGAAGGATGAGAATCATGGCCGATGAGATTGCTCAAGAAGCTATATAGCATCAGCATTGAGGCATTTTACATGTAGATAAGGATTGATCGATGGTTGTGCCTGATTCGCACAACCAATTTGACCATTCATGCAGTTAATTCAATCAATTAATGAAACAAACATGTAGTAATCTCACTCCAAAATGTCCGACCTGCAATTCCAACTTGCTTCGGTAAATAATCATTCAACTACCAAATAGAACCTACCCACATGGCAAAGCAACTTCATCTAGAAAGATGGTGCTGTTGAAGGTTTCTCAAATTCAGCCACTAACACGTGCTACTACACTAGTTATGTACAGTTTAAGACAAACACAAGTATGAATTGGATCAATCAGGCCCCCATCATGGAGCGGAATTTTTTTTCCAAACATTTATGGAGTACAAAAATATATGTGGGTGTGTTGTTGTTGCTTGCAATTTGAAACATATATTGCATACTCTCAGGTTATTAACTGGAAACACGTTCAAGAAAACAGCAGAGAATCTGAAAACTTCAATGATGATATAGACATTAAAAGTCATGATTCTTAACAGGTCCAAGAGGTGCATGAGCTGCAGAGGAATTCATTTAAAAGGTGCAAACCGGAACTTTTACTACGCCTGCTCAATCACAGATCGAGGGTAAAAACTCGAAACTAAGAAAAAAGATATCTGGGTAGAAGTTAGAACATGATGGCGAAGTCAGAAAAATAAGACAAGCTGATGAAATCAAGAAATATGCTTCACAATGGGTTGACCCCCATTAAAAGATAGGCAAATTAAAAATGGGTTATTCTATTAAAGACGACATTAAAAAAACAAAACCAAAAGAATCAAGAAAGATCCAAGACAACTAAGAGTCCGACACACTTTCTAGTGACAAGTGATAACCAACACCTACCAATTGCTTTAAAATTTCTTTTCCAACGAAAATTATTTTGCATTTTAGTCAACAACGATTTGCATGCGCTTGATTGGAAATTGCATCCATCACAATCAAGATGGTGGGAATAATTTCAACACCCGCTTATCAGTTCATCTTCTTTCTCTTATTAATATAAAAAAATCAGTGGAACGATGGGAAATTTATGCTATAAGTAGAGTCTCGTAAAAAATTGCTAAGATGGCGAAACCCCATAAGCAAGCAAAGGACAAAGGAATAAACTTTAAAGCCCTATAGAACTGAATATCTACAATTTTGATCTTCATTAAAAACCCATTAACTGTATCGGATTTTTAGACACACCAAGCCAAGTTTACGAATTACAGAGATTAGAAACAAAAGGAAAGAAAAAGGATGTGATTCTTGTAACGTAAAAATATGCATTTACAAACCGGAAAAAACATTAGTTGCTTACTTGTTCGGGAGAAAGTTGTTTTTGGAGAGACAAGCTTGGATATCGCAAGCTTCTTTCTTGCACGGCTCTTTACTTGCTTGTGCCATTTCTTTCTTTTGAGAAAAAATGAGCACCGGATTCAAAAAGCTTCTTGTTGAATTAAATTAATTGTTTGTGGTCAGACTTCTCCTTCCATGGCGGTGCCAAATATTTATTTGGGTAAAAAGTTTTAATGCTTCTGGCTTAAAAATACTATTCTCTAGATAAGTGAAAATTTATTAAAGAGGTCACATATTTATATTATTTGCAAAACCACATTAAGTTTTAGGGTTTTTTTTTTAAATAAATTAAGTTAATACATTAATCAATATATATGTTTGTTGGTTTAATAGTAAGATTTTCTTCAAATAATTTTTACATATCTCAAGACTAATTCCTTTTTATTTATGATTAAGAGATATTTTTTAATGTAAATTCTAAAAAATATTGATTATAAACATCAAAACATAAATCTAATCTATTAATCAATACTTGTTTACTAATAAATTACTATATTGTAATTTTAATCATTATGATATTAAAAATAAAAAATTAGAATTGCAATTCCTTGCTTTAAAAAAAATGGAATTTTTTTATTTTTATTTTTACAATAAGACAGCGTTTTAACTAACAATTAGTTTTTCTTTATGAATATTACCAAAAGATTACTTAAACTTCCTATAAAAATTGTCTAAAACGAGATTGTTTTTGCACGTCAAGCATATAATTAAACTCAACACTACTATAAATTATCATTAAAAAAGTCGTATTATCGATCTTATTAATGGAAGATCCTAACCATTCAAATTATCAGCCAACAAAATACATTAATCACAACCCAACAAAAAAGCACGAAAACTTTATTCCTAATACTAAATATTTTAATAAAATAAAATTTTCGTGTTCAAATCTAATCAAGATTTACTATTCTAAAAAGAAAAATACAATAAATAAATAAAACACAAAAAAAAAAAGAAGGAATAGTTGCATACTGAGTTAACCATATAAGGTTTTTTTTAAAAAAAAAGAATTATAATTTAATATTTTAAAAATAATGAACATGTATTTAATTAACAAAAAAAAATTGAAAAGGTATTTAATTAATAATTTAGGAAAAAACAGAATTGTAATTTAATATTTGAGATATCATATGTTCCTGGTAATTGTAAGCTGTTATCTTCTTCTTATGTTCACAGTATGCCGTTTGCTTCGATGAATTTTGATTGAAAAAAATTTAAAAAACATAAGTGTTTCTGCTTGCTGATAATTAGGACCAATAATAACCTGCCACGTGAGCAAAGTCAAGAGTTAATTAAGGTTACAAAGTCAAGCTACAGTCCTTGCCTGTTCATGCTGTCAGAGTACCCATCGTCTCTGTTCTCCCCCTGCTCTCTCCACAATTGAATTGAATGGAAACGACGAAGCGTTTGATAGGCATGTTGAGACCAAAATTAAAGCAAGGATTGCTACTATGGCTTGAAGGTTTCAGGGAAGCTTGCTGTCTTCACAGAGTCGTTTTTCTCTGTTTGAGGTCCTCTCTCGCTCTTTCTCCCCCTAAGTAAATCGACCCACTTTCCCTTTGGCTCTCTAGAAAGTAAATTAAGTTTATATTTTTCTTTTTCTGTTTTTAAATTTTGCGGTGGCAGGTCAAGAAAGCTTTTGATTCGAACTGGGCAGTGTTTTCTTTTAAATGGTTTCATTTTCTTGGGAAGGTGAGACTAACTCTCTCTCCGTATATTGTTTTTGTTGGAATCTGAATTATTTATAGGCTGTAGAGTAGTCTGGGTATTGTTGATTTCTAGAGAAAAAGTTGAGTCTGAGGAAGTATACAAAACCCACATTCTATGGCCTAAGTTGGTTTATTGAATTAAGAAAGATCGAAAACAGTTCATCTGTAGTATTTGATGATTATCCTAGCTTTTAAATCATGTGTGATATGAATATTTGAATCTTCATGGCCCTGCAGCATACTTGTTTTAAAATCAGTGGTCATCCCAACATTACTATGGATATTACCTAATCAGTGTTCAGAAATTTCTTCCCAAGGACCTTGCTCGTTTGACAGTGTTTGGAAACTTTATTCGTCATTACGCCTTGGACTCGTACAACTCTTTTATGTAAGTATGCGTTGCTTGTCATGTTCATCAACTTGAGGCTCTCTTACCTAATCAAATCCTTTAAGTTTATCTGTGATTAAGGAACTGGTTTAATTTGTATGGTTTTGTCACCTATTTCGTAAAACATGGTTTAAGTTTGCTGAGCCATAATCAGGCACAAAAAACATTCTCAACCTTTAGGATGTTTCACATTGTCGATATGATTAGACAGCGTTATGGCCATTTTCTCCTTCACCACTGTTCTCTGGCCAGTCTAATAAATGGTTAATTGAATCATAGGGGCAGAGTGAATAAATTTATGTACACTGCGCTTGCGGATCTATATGTTTGTGCACAAATATATTTGTCAGATTCTATTAACTGTCACTAAGGTTAATTTCTTTATCCACTTACTATATACAGGTATTCTGGTTCTATCCGCTGTACATATTTAGCTTCATTCTGAGCACTATTTGGTATTGTTCTCTCATTCTGTGTACCTCTTCTATTGATGGCTTCTACACTTAATAAATATTTCCTTGATTGTTTTGGCCAGTTTATGGCATCTGTGAGTTGGATGGGGGTTTTCTGACATCTTCCTCTTTATAAGGTTACAAGTATCTGTAATTCTGGGTACTAGATAACAGTATGCATTATTCTTCTGTGACTTGTCAGTTACAATACCACGGCTATCTTCAGATGCATTGTTTCAGAGTGGAATTTGCAATTTCCGTACTTATACAAGGAGCGTTTTCTTCAATTAGTTTGCACTAGCCAATCCGCATCGCTCTCTCTAAAGTTTCCTCTCTTCTCCTTTTTTCATTTTGATTAGATAGTTTGAGCATATGATTTTGATGCAGGACAACTTTTGGGGTTGTTCTGGATCTGAATTTCAGAGCTATTTTAGGCCTGTGGACAGTGTTTTGAGGCATAGTAGATTGAGTTTTGGTGGTAAATGGTTTTAAGATTGGTTGGGTATGAAGGTGAGGGTGTTAAGGGACTAATGGAGATCGTTTAAAGGGATTGAGGATGAATGTAAAACTACTAGAGTCACACTCTTAGGGTTTCTAGGAGTCATGCCTAGAGGATAGAAAACCCAAGCTTCACACCTAGGGTTCTTAGAATCACACCTAAAAGGAGATTGAGTCACAATCAAAAGCAAATTGCTGGAAATATCTGTATTGAATGATTACATACCTTTATATAGAGTTACTGGTAGTCCAAGTCCAACTAAGACTTATTTTCCTATATAACAAAATACCAATAGTCCTATTTAGAATACGTAAAACCTAATAAAATTAATTACTTTAGTACTAGTAAACTAAACAGAATAAAACCAAGACCTAGACAACCTTCCCAGCTTTTCCAGCAAATCTGGAAATGCAGAAATACATTGGTCTACGAAAATACATCAATTTTGCTTCCTTTGTGTCTGCATCAGATTTACTATGCATTTTGAAAATCGTAGTACAACTGTATTAGTAGATGCCTCCTGACAAAATTTTCGAAGTTTATCTATGCCTGTTTTCAACTAATTTCTTAATCAAGGTACAATGATATTGCTAAGTATGGTTTTGCGGCAATGGGAAGAAGCGGACATGATGTATTGGAACCCCCAGTCAGAATGCGGTCAAGACCCCAGAAAATACAGCTTTGAAGGACAAGCCTGCAGGTCTAGGAGGGTAGGATTCCAACTTTTATCCATTTTGTTTCTAAAATTGAGTCTTTGCTCCTCACTGCTTGCATTTCTTTGCCTCAAATGAACAATCTTACTCGACACTGAACATGCAAGGTTTGCTTTTGCTTTATATTTTTTGTGCAGGGTTATGATTGGAATTGGAGAGCAATTGTATTCTATACTTCTCTTGACCTTCTTTTTTCTAGAGGTAGACTATGCGTTTGCATATAAATAGATAGATACTCTGTTATCCTTCTTTTTTTATTATTATTGTACCACCATTTTTCTCCTCTTCAAGTTCTCACAGCAATTTATTTGTGTTTAAGCAATTTATCAGCTGATATGTGTTTGATTTGGAATGAAATGGCTTCACTTTTCTGTACCTCTGCTTTTTATTTAATTCTCAGACCTTAGAATTGCGTGCAGGTTTATGCCACAGGATTTATACCTCATATAGGAAAGGCACTCAATTTTGTCCTCCTATCCTGGATGTATGCTTACTACTGTTTCGAGTAGGTGATGAACGTACATCTGCTAGTTGTTGTGTTATTATTGACTGGGTAATTTCTAATTGTGCTTCTAACTTTTGTTAGGTACAAATGGAATTTGTCTGAAGTGGCTCTGGACATAAGGCTGGATTTCTTTGAATCTAACTGGGCCTTTTTTGCTGGTTTTGGTAATATATTATTTGAACTGGAATTAATGTGCCTTGTGTTCAACCATTTATTTTACTAGGAAATTTATAATGCATAAGGTCGTATTCATCTGCTGCTTCTGCTTTTTGGCAGCTTCCTTAATTAGACCAAGCATTATTGATCTAATTCTTATGTAGTGAACTTTGAGATTCCTTGCTCTTCTGCTGCTTGTTATACAGTAATACTGGCTTGATGAAATTCACATGTGGTTCTACGTGGAGTCTGTAATACGCTTGATATTTAGCAGGTAAATGATCTTTTGCTTAATAATGGTGATTTCTTTATTGTCTTTCCAGGAAGCCCTTGCGTTCTGGCTATTTTCTTCTTCTCTCCTCTTGTGAGCTATGGTGTTATGGCTGTTCTTTTTCCTTTGGTACATAGTTTTCTTCCCTTTTTTTCTGGTCCATTTTCCTTTCCTCAAAAGCACATGCTTCTATATTGCTTGGTTTGACGGCAGTAACAGAGGTGTCCTGCAGTTTGTTTTGACTGCAACAGGTTCCAGGGCTGAGCAACTTATTTTTTCACAAAGAAGAAAATGGAAAGGTGCAGGATTGGGAAGGCTTCCGATATTTTATGCAGCGGATACATTATCGTAAGATTCCACTTTACTGAGTTTTTTTGCCTATTGAAAAGAAAGGGCATTTGGATAATGCTTATATTGTCTGAGGTTATTAATTTTGAAGGAATTTGTTATTGTCATAAATTATGTACTTTTACTTTTGGAAAAAAAAAAAAAGAAGTTGTTTTGGCATCATTCTTTCTGTAGTCAGAGATGGAGAAAATTAAGTGGCTTATTTTATTTCAAGGAATTTAAATCTGCAAAATGGAGATTGATTCACAATAACATACTGGTTGTAGTACAAGAGATTGACTTATGTTTTTATCAATTCTGAAATTTTGGAATGGGGAAGCCATGATCTTTTTAAATCATCACAAGGTCGAGTCTTCCTGCTTGTCTTTATGATATTGTTTGCTTATTTCCTTTTACCATCTTGTTCCCTGAGTGCTGTAGGATTTAGATCTTGTGCCTCTTCTTTCAAATTTTACAATCCTTTTCAGCTGAAAAACTGGCTTCATTACCACTTCTCTTGATTGGTTGCGTTTTTCTGTAGGTTGCAGGTTTTATCTCTCCTGCCCTTGGAATCTCTAGATCAGATGCAAGACAATAAGGAACTCTAAGAGATTCTGGCATAGTTCTTCCACAATGTGACAGTTCTTCCATGATGTGACAACAGTAAGTTCATTCTATTTATCAAATTTAAGATCCTTTTAGCTTGTTGAATAGTGGTGTGATACAACAACACTATTTATAATCTCCTGGATTGTTACGGCTCAACATTTACAGAAATCAACCGAATGACTCGAGGACTTGTGTGACATTAGTTCTAAGGGATGATATCATATCTTTTGTGGGTAGGAGGAAGCTGTTGTCACTATATGTGCAGCGTTTTTATTTACTCTGGTTGGCAAATATGTATAGTTCACAGATCATTATTAATTAATCTAATTCATGTATATCTTTGATGGTCGATTTTGGGAAATTGTAAATAAAAAAGTGTTTGAACATTGTGACTGTAAACAGTACATTTCAAGAATGTTTCTTTAATAAGTATTTGAATCGAGTTCTCAAACTCTCCCATTTGTTTTTCAATTACCGATCTTTCCTTTTTATAGAATATGCATGATCATTATGCAGGCATATATTTTATCTCTGAAGCTGTTCATTTTTCATTTTTTGCCTCATCTAATGGACATACATTTCAATCGCATACATCAATTACAGTGCAGTTTTCCCCCCTCAAAATGTTGTTTACGGTGGATTTTAGGTAGACCTTTCAGTTGCAGCATTAACACTAAAGAATATATATACGACAGTACATTAAAAAATATATAAAGCCAAATACAACAGCTGACAAAATTGGGGTTCCCCTAAGCTGTAATGAAATTCTAATCCTTGCAAATACTGCTGTTTGCTCTCCACTGATTAAACCAATCATCAATTTCAAAATTATGTTGATAGGCTTCATCATTCTCCATCCAGTTGTTACCAAAATCTATCAGTAATGGTGGCATCTGAAAGTCAATAGAGGCCGCATCCTTGTCATTATTACTGACAGTTTCGACAGTGTTGTTATTTGTATCCATGATCCCTGCACTGGCACCAGCAACACCAGCAGGTACTGATGATTTATCAATTTCAAGTTCCATATCATCATGATCTTGAATTGCCTTTTCCCTATTGTTCTCCATGCTTAACAAATTGATTTTCGCCTTCAATCCGAACAATTTAGACTCTAAAACGTTTACTGTATCCCTCAAAGCATCCTCAGATAACCCATCAATTTGCAGAGACCAGTTAGCAACTCTGCGCTCATTAACCTTCTTGTTCTTCAGCTTCCGTATCTTGACTTCAAGCTTCGTCTTTTTACCCTGCAAATGACCTAAGAGACTGCTTTCATGTTTCCTTCTAGCATCGAGTTCTTTGCAGGACATGAGTGCATCCTTGACCTCCACAACACCCTCTGGCCATGTCTGGACGGTGCCGTCAGGGCCAAAACAGACCATGCAAATCTTGACGTCACACAGTGTCTGGAGCTCGTGAGCTTTCTTCTTCAATGTTGCCGTTCGCTTTGAGAAGCTCATAGCACGCCTTGCTTGGTTGAATTTTGGAATTCGATTTGTTCCAATTTCTGCCATTGATTGAATTAGGGAAACTACAAAGCAAGATATGTTAAGACAGAACACTAATGTTTTATGTTGTATAAATAGAGCAATGAATCACAAACTGTAGGACCGACTGAGAGGGAAAATCTTTCCTTGTTTATTTCGGTTTTCTACAACGAGCAAGCAAGTCTAAAGGAAGGATTAATTTATTTATCAGTTCTTGTTTCCTGCAGATATAAGGATTCACTGTCAATCTCGGATATTTTTTTTTAACTTACATATCTAAGGCTTTTAGTAAAATTAATCTGTTAGGATTTGAATTTATGATCTTTCTTGTAACACAAGAGATCACTATCATTAAGCTATAAGTTTTTTGATATAGTTCGATATTTAAAATTTTATAATATATATATATTGTAAACAATCGGCTTATTGATATTTTTTAGCATGATTATCTCTTCCCTTGTATCAAAGTTTTTTCTTGATGGAGAGCAAATAAAAATAAAACTCAATATACGTTATTGTACTACATCATTTTGGTCAGATCGACCGAATGATATTAATTGACTAATTGCTGGCTAATTAGATACTAATACATACGTTTAATTAGATGCTAACATGTGTTTTAATTCAACAGCTAATTATATATTGAAATTTGTTTTAATCCAACTAGAAATAGGTTGAAAATGATTGAATTCAGGTTGTAGAGGGATCGATTCTTTTAATTTTCATGTAGATGGATTGATCTGATCAAATCAATATTGTATAGGGACGAAAATGATGATTTTTATGCCGACACATGCCATACGATCTTACTTTTATTTAATCAAAAATGCCGTTAGCATACTTGATCAAGTACATCAATCCAACGGACAAAATTGAACGTGAATCATCAACGTCCGTCTCAATAACATGAAAAGCCGGTTAATTGGTAAATTTCATAATTTTATTAGAGGTCAATTATAAAATACAAGAAATTTTATAATACACTTGAACCAAAAAAAAAATTACCTTCAGAACTAAAAAAAAAATCTTGATTTTACTATATAAATAATATAATTTTTTTTAATTTATCCATTTTCTTAAGATTTTATAGAAAATTTGATTAAAAAACAAATTCTTAAAAATTCTCTCAATTCTTCTCTTTTCTCTATTAGTAAATATGTTTTTATAATTTTATAAAAAAAATTATAGGAATTGAAAATATTTTTATAAGTTTTTTCATCAACAAAAACTTAATAAAATAAATAAATTTAAAAAATCATATTGGTTAGAGGATGGATACCCAGAATTATTTAGTTTTAGGGGTCGTTCAGAAAGATATTTTACTGGAGTCGCCAAGATTCCCACCAAGACACGGAGCACGCCAATGATTGGTTCACGTGAAGCGCGTGGGCTTAAATTAATTCCAGCAGACAACGTGGTCTTATAAATACTGGCCCAGCAGCATAATTCTGGGACCCACATCACATCATTATCAAACAAATAAATCAAGACCGTCCGTTTGCTCACATGATTAGTCCCTCCCTCCTGTCCTATGACAATCTTGTATTTTTGCAGAATAGTAAGAGTAAATTATAAATTAGTCCCTATATTTTCAAAGACTATTTTTGGCCCTTTTAACCAGTGTAGACCACCACGACTAACTTCATATTGTTTTTATAAACTGTATTCTTTTCTCATCATCTTTCTAATTTTTTTTTCTGTTTATTAAAAAAATTAGTTTTTGAAACCAGATAAACTAATTAATTCATTTTTTTAAACAAGAGGGACTAATTTATAATTTACTCCAATAGTGACGGGTCCTCTACACGTTTTTCAAAATAAAGAGGTCAAACTTTTATGCTTATCACTAGTGTATAATTAACTTTTCATTAAAATAATAAAATATTAATTAATCACGAAATTAACCTTTTCTTGCAGAAATTAGGGAATGGTGGAGCAGTCTTGGCCTTGGGTGCCAAAAACAAAGTGTCTTTTGCTTGATTTTAAATAGTTAGTGAATATAAAATATACAACTTTAGATTGAATGTGAGTTAAACTTCATTTCTTTTTTTCGACCGTAAGAGTATTATTGAACTACCCCTAAACTAAGTTCTTTATTTTTTCTCATCAATCGTTTTTTATTATTTGATTAATTTTTTTTCCTCAAAATATCAAAAAAAAAACATGAAATAGATGTAAATGATTAGGACGTAAAAGAGCTTGTAACTTAATGATAATGATTTTTTATAAAAAAAATCATAGATTTAGACCCTAACAGACTAATTCTAATAAAAGATTTAGGTGTTAATATTGGGTGTGTGCGTAATTAAAAAAAAAACTAAGACATAAATGGGTTTAAAAATACATGGATCAAATATCTAATTTCTGAAATCATGAGGACTATTAATTAGTTTTGATAAACTAAAGTGACTAAGTTATAATAATTAACTATTTTTTCAGTGTTAGTTAATCATGTTCAAAAGAATAAGAAAAAGGAAAAACTGAACTCCGTTAATTTTCACAGCTAAGCGTGATAGGTATGGGACTGTAAAGGGCTAATGAATAGGAAAACTGAAATCCAAGAGAGGTAGCTAATGCAGAAAACCTGAAAATGATTAAGCAATGAAAAGTGAAAACAGAGAAGTTGTCTTGAATTGACTGTACACGTCAAATCAAGAGTAACTCTAAAGAGCATATAAAGTGGAGACATATAAAGAGTAAATTATAAATTAGTGTCTCTAATTTTGAGAAATAAATTAGTTATTTTTTTAAAAAAAATAATTATTATTTAATTTTTATTTTTTAAAATTTATTATTTTTTCATTTTCAATTTATATTATTTTTTTTTGTTTTGAAAAATATTTAAAAAAAAGTAAAATATATGAAACGATCAATAAAAAAAATTAAAACTAAGCATGATTGATATTGGTTAAGAAATTAAATAATTTTAATTTTTTAAATAAAAAACTAATTAGTTAGTTTATGTAAAATAAAAAGGTTAATTTATATTGTACTCGCATATAAATCTTAATTAGCAGTCTTCATTTTGTATCAAAATCCATTCAAATTTGATCAAATGATTTAAATATTTATAATATACAATCCAAAATTAATGGATTCTTGCTTGCTAAATCACTTACGCATTTTTATAATATCATCTGCACCACATTTCGTACCTTAAAATAAATTGACAATCATAAAATATTGTTAATTAGACTATCCTTAGAAGTGACGCCATTAAAATTACAAGGAGTGGCTGAATGATAAGAGTCTTGAATTTTTAATGCAGAGGTTCAAAGTTTGAATTTTATTTTTCACCATTCTTTGTGGCCATTAAAAAGTTCAGGTCTGTTTCTCTGATTTTAAAAAGATGGAAAATCTAGGATCTTGGTTTAAGATCAATCTATTCCGAGTAAAAATAAAAAATAAAAAATTGAGGCTGCCAAAGGCATCAAACATGCTGCAGATGAGAAATAAAATGACATAAATTCACATTTTTTATATAGGGTTAATGATAATAATATTTATTTTTTTAATTATTATTACTTTCTGTGTAAGAGTACTTGGTATTTATTCAACAAAGGGGGAAAAAAAGGGCAAAACCCGTCAAAATAGATGCTCCTGTCGGAGGGTTAAAAAAACCAAACTGACATGCTTTCTGCATCTTTTTTACAAAAGAGAAAGGAGTCCTTGCTTTTTGATCATTAATTCTCTCCTCTTTTTAGCCACACCACAAAACCTGGTATGCTGTTGGGTCTCTTTGCCTTGTCCCATCTGTTTGTTTGAGAAATGCAGACCTCCTTCAAGCTTCATGCTCCATTATCTTCTAATTCCTGCCCTTTTTTCATAGCTTCACTTATAATTTTTGGTGGTAAAAAGATGAAGGAACTATAAAGTGAAAAATTTTAAAGCAAACAAATAAGAAAACTAAAAGGCTTTTTTTTTTTTTTCTCAATTGTCAATTCCTTTTGCCTGTCATCATTTATTTTACTCAAATCAAAACAAAGCAAAAATAAATAAATTTTATGCTAAATTACAAACAAATTAATATCCTTCTATACAAACTCTCTCTATATATTCCCTTTCTTGTCCCCTTTGGACCAAACTAACAAATTATATTTGCAAATTAATAACTTCTCCGCATCAATCTGGAAAAAAAAATCGAAAATTAAAATTAACAAACCAAACCAAGATGAAAACTAGCTAGGAATCTCTCCTCTACGTTCCCTTGAGCATCAATATCCATGGTAGTACTAATCAGTTTTTAGCACAAATAGTTCAACTCCCAAATTTGCAATAAGAAACCAAACGATCTCTAACTCGACCTCCTGCTGATCCAATGGAATATTAAAAATGCAAAGTTGATATTTTTAGGGCTGAGATTAATCAAGCTGTCATATATAGGTATCTGAATTAAGAGCAACCAACTTGTTGTATTCGATTCTGTCATTGAGAACTGTTTGGATCTTCATCTCCACTATCAGTAGTCTGCTGCTGATGCTGGTGGTGGTGTTGGTGGTGATGCTGATCTAATGGATTATCTTGTTCGGAATTCATATTCAAACCACCTCTTGAATATGCATTGAGAGCAGCCAACATCCCCAAATTAGACTCTGATATGCCTAACCCCAGATGCTGAGACGGTTGTTGTTGTTGTTGCTGCTGCTGCTGCATTAACATAGACCCCAACTGTAAAGGATTCCCTCTTCCACCTTGAAATTCAAGACTAGTAGGAAGATTAAATCTTGGCATAAAATGTAGCGGAGCTTGCAATGTGTTTCCACTTGTCGGTGTGGCTGTAGCAAAAGGCCAAATCTGGGGTTCTGAATGACAAGCTACAGATGTCGCGGTGGCCAAAGGAGGACCGCCACCGGCACCAGCAGTCACTGGCAGCATCCAAAATGTGTTACCAGCACCACTGCTCGGCGGTGCTGGTGCCACTGCCCACATGGCAGTGGCAGGCAGGATATTTGATGGCCTAACTAACCCTGAAGATCCTGTCTCTTGTTGTGGTTTTGGTAGCTGTGAACCACCTTTGAATGCTTTAATAGGAGACTCTTCTCCTCCATCATCGCCGCCGCCACTTTCTCCTTGTTCTTGTTGATTGTCCTCCTTGAATAAATCTTCTCTAAAGCGTTTCCTCATATAATTCTCTTCTCCACCACCACCACCACTCTCCCCGCCACTGCCACCGGCACCAGCACCAATTGGCAGTGCTTGCGCCATTTGATCTGCTGTCATTAGATGCTGCTGCTGGTGGAACCCTAAAAATCCCGAGTGCGCAAACCCTTCTTCATAATGAGGATGATGAGACAAACCAAGAGCGCTATGGAAAGAATGAGGCGCCGATTTAGAAGGAGGAGCTGAAAGAGTGGAACCACTGCTCCTTAAAGAAACATTGAGCGTTGAAAAATTTGCTGGGATAGTACCAGTCCCAGTGGCTGCTATAATTGCTGGTTCTGCTTGCTGTAATAACCACTCAATCGTTTCTCCATCAGACTTGTGACCCAATTCTCTCGTCAATTGAAAAACCCTTGCTGCACATGTTGCTGGCATTCTAATTCTCCTCCCTCGACCATCTACTTTTGTGTGTCGGTCCTTTGTGGACCGCTTTGCGGGTGTTACCGCTGCTGTTGTGACTGCGCTACTACTGTTTGTGGCTGCTGGAACAACGGATAGATTTTGTTGGTTCTTTTTCGTGGAGTCTACGAGAGAAGGGCCAGATCTGGTGGCGATGGCGAGAGAGGCGTCGACGAGGCGTGTTGGGGTTGTGGAAGAAGTAGATGCGGAGGTGGAGGAAGAGGAAGAAGATAGAGGTGAAGATGATGGTGAAGGTCCCGACCCAGTATTAGCAGTAGTTGGAGTTGACGATGCACCAAGATTATGGTGATGGTGGAGGCCAGCTTGGATGGAGATGGAGCCCATGAAAGGACTCTGTGATGGTCCTCCTCCTGCTGATTTGCCATCAAAAGATAGTTGTTGTTGTTGGAGATGATGATGATGGTGCTGCTGGTGATGGTGGTGCGATTGGTGGGGTTCTTGAGTGGTATTATTTTCTTCGTTGCTTTGCAAATTTGAGAGTTCCATTTGTGGGGCACTGTAGGAATTTGATGGCCTGGCTTCTCTTTTTATTTTATTTTTAATTGTTTTTATAATTTCAAAACTGATTGATCAAGCCCATGTCTTTTCTATCTCTCTTCCACTTCTAGCTGGTTCATCTTTCTCTGAGGAGAAGAGAAAATGAAAGAGAGTTAAAAAATCTTGCAGGGATCTGGACCTCCTAAGTGGGACTAGGAGTTTGTGGGGTTCTGATTGACTGTTGTCGTTGCCTGAGAGAGCTTTAGGTTAAGACAGGAGAAGAGGCTGTCCAAATAGAAGCAGGTGGCGTGGGGGACCTTTGGATGAAAAAAATGTACCAGAAGTCCACCCGTGGGGTCACGTAAATGAAGGAATGTTAAACAATTTTGCAGCCATTGTTTATGGAGAAAGTTATAGATTAGTCCCTCTCGTTTTGATAAATAAACAAATTAATTCTTTTTATTTTAAAAACAAATTATTTAATTTTTATATTTTTAATCTATTTGTATCTTAATTTTTTCTTTTTAATTTTTTATTTTATATGAAAATTTTGATAAAAATAAGATATTTTATATAATAAAAATAATATTAAATTAAATATGATGAATATCAAATAATTAAATAATAAATTTTGAAATAAGAAGAATTGATTAATTAATTTCTTAAAATCAAAAGGATTAATTTATAATTTACCCTTGTTTATCTAATTATATGACACACACTTCCACAGAACATACCCTAACTTGCAAAATAACAGAAGCAAAGCAAATTAAACTCAACTTCATCTCCTTACAGGGTTCTGAAATCCCTATACTACACTACCATATCGTAAGCTCAAAATTTTAAATTTTGGCCTGAAATTGGGGGCAAATTTTTAATGTGTCAACGTCAATTCCTAAGACAAATGTCACAAATCCCATGTTTTACCTCCGATTACTGTGGCCGTTGTTTTCTGTAGGGTTGCAGTTTTGCAGACAAAAAAGAAATGCAGGACACAAGTCATTCTGAATACTCACATGAAACCCTTGGTTGACTAATTAAGGAGATTAGGATTCGAAAGCTAGGGTTGGTTTTGATTCTTGTCATTGTGATAGAAGGCTTGGGGTTTTACTACAGAAAATGTTTATCCCAAATACCAAGTATGTCTGTGTGTGTTTTGTAATAATTAGCAAATATTTTTGTAAATACACATTTAAATTGAAAAAATATTGAACGCATTTTGAAACATTTTTCAAATATATCCCAATGCCTTCCCGAACATGACCTCGTTAGCAATAGAGTAAACAAAAAATTAAAGGTGTTGGTTTTTTTTATTTATTAATATATAAAATAGTCCTTCTCATTTAGAAAAACAACTTAATTAGTTCTTTTTATTTCAAAACCAATTGTTTAGTCTCTTATGTTTTAATTCACTTAATAACTTAGTGTTTTCGTTAATTTTTCGTTAGAACGGGATGAAGTATTTTCACCGTAGTATATTTTTCTCGAGTATTGCTAAATCTATAAGATATTTTGTTATTTTCATCAAGATTTTTATTGTAAATTACTAACACACCACTATCACATTAAGTTAGTGATCAAATGGTAACTAGATGTAATAGTTTGTCAGTAATTTACAATAGAAACTTGGTGGAAATAACAAAAGTTATGATGGATTTAGCAATGTACTTTTTTCTCAAGTTATCCTTCTTTATGTATAATTTTTTTCATTCACACGCATTTCTTTTCTTTTCTTTTCTCTTCTCTAAATATCCACATCTCTCTCTTCAAATCTTCATTTCTCATTTTATTATTCTTCACTATATATGTTAACGAATATTTTAAATATTAGATGTTAATTTGATAAATCTAGTAAGAACTTTAACGATAAGAGATTAAATTATTAATTTTTAAAACTAAACAGACTAATCAGTTCAATTCTAGAAACAAAAAGGATTAATTTATAATTTACAAGTTTTTTTTTGGGGGGGGGGGGGGGGGGGGGGGGGGGTGGTTAAGAGAAGAGGGCGGAGGTTATTTTGGTAACAGTGGAAAAGATGGTGGCTGTGTATATTTGAGTCCAGAGCAGCAAGCAGCGAGACAGCGCAGGTTAGAATCAGATGAAGGTATCTAATGCAGTGGGACAGCTCATCCCAACCCAAACTCCACATAGTATTCTTAAATTTGTTTTTTTCCTTCTTTGTCGTCACAGGCTACATAGTAGAATTATCTTCCCTTTCGGGTTCTATCAACAAGTCAATCGGAGCACCTCTGCTTTTGATAAGAGAAACTCGTGTTCTGAAATTACTGAATTACCCTGATAGAAAATTAATTAATCTAATGGAGTTAAATCAGAATTATCTTTTTGAACTTGGTGAAGTGGACAGGGTACCTTTGTCATGGCCCAATTATTGAAAAATGATACCGATTTGAATAAATTTATGCCTCGGTGCCGCCACCATTATGATGTGGTTTGACGATAGATTTTGCTCAGGAGCATTCACGGGTTGGCATCTTAAACCATTTCCTTTTTTGCAAACAGGAATTTGAATCTAAGAACTAAAAAAACCTCTAGGTTTTGGTTAATTTAAGTTTAGAATCGTTTTTCAAGTTAACCTGAATTCATTATAATGCTTCAAATAAGAACTTCAAAATCAAATAGTTTTAAACAATAAGTTGAATTTTTATGACGTTTTAGTTAAGGATTCGAATCTTATAAATATCACGATTTTATAATAAATTTTATTTTTCACATCATGTAATATTTATAATTAATTTATTAGCATATGAATTTATTGTTTTTTGTGTGTAATTAATGGAATAATATATGATTGTATGATAAGTGGAATAATGTATAACATGTACATAGAACATTATCTAAATTATTACCAATTCTATATAACATTCAAGTGATTTTTTTTTTAACTTAGTTATCACATGTATATTAAATGTGATTGATAAAAATATGATCATTTCATTAAATATAATCATTACTTGTTATAAAAAATTTGTATTTTATATTTAGTTCATAGTTTAATTTAACACTAGTAAATATGGTTTGAGATAATATGATAATGACATTAAATATCACCCATATATATCGAGTAACTAATATAAACTCATAAGCTATTCATTTGAAATCTTTTGTATTGATTTAGTTACTATATAATTGATGTCATAACCGAGGTAATTTAACAAATAAGATTACTCCTACTAAGTCATGTAAGAAATATGGCTCGATGTTATGGCCCATATTTTATGTAAGCCCATATTAAGTTGGTTTAGGGTTTTCTTAATTTAATAGTATGTTAAATCTGGATCGTTAATTTAGTACTTGATGGACGTACAAGATTTAATATTAACGAGTATATAAACTAGTCCTCTCTCTACCCTAAAGTAGTATGCGGACAAAAACACAAAAATACGAACGTACGTATTTTGGCTATCCATCAAGTCACCTGCTACGTAAAAGAGGGTCGAGGGAGAGAAACTAATTTATAAAGTTCGTGATTGTTGAAAGCTCTCTCTACATCATGATGAATTCCGCTCAAGGTAAGTAATTTATTCGCTTTACTCATGTGATTATTATTTTATTCAAGATCCCGAATGAGCATGAATGATTTATGTCTTGATCATTGCATAGAATGATTTATGTTTTGATCTTTAAGCAAGAAAGTTTATTTAATATGTGGTATCGAGCCTAAGTTTTTGAATAGATAATAATCCTTAGATTATTAATTTGATGATTTTTTTTTTTAAAAAAAGGACGGATCAAGCTATCGCATCGCTAACAGTTGGCAAGAAGAAATCATTGACGAGTGGTATCACTCGTCAATGAACTAGGAATTAGGGCGGCATTGGACGCCGCCCTAGATCGATCGCGGATTGCGCGATCGACGCGCGCTCGCGCATTGCGCGATCGGCCTTGCGCAAGGCTCGCAGTAGCAAGCCATGCGGGGTCGGCCAAAATATATATATGTATGTATGTATGTATGTATGTATGTATGATTGAATTATGTATGCATTTTTCCTTTATATATATATATATATGATAGTATGATTAAATTGATTTGTTAGTCACCAAAGTGGCCAAATTAATTTTGAATGTGTGATCATATAATTTATGTATTTTTTTATGAAATGCTATTGAGAATAGAAATTTATTAGTTGATAGAAATTAATTTTCTTTTATACATATATGACAAGTATGATTAAATTGATTTGTTAGTCACCAAAGTGGCCAAATTAATTTTGAATATGTGGTCATATAATTTATGTATTTTATAAAATGCTATTAAAAATTATAAATTTATTAGTTGATAGAAATTAAGGACTTTACCCAAAGGTAAATCAATGTTCTATAACTAATAAATATAAAGGAAGAAATTGATATACTCTTGTTACATATATATAGTTATCCAAAGATGCTATATGTATTTGAAAAATGTTTATTTAATTTCTTATAAAGTCTAAATGGCATCCGAATGATAGTGATGATATGTATTGTTGTGTTTACCTAAAGGAAACTCGCAATATATTTAATGTATATGCTTTCTATCCGAATCGTTAATTAGTGAGTGTTTATATGTTTGTAGCTATTAGCCTTCATTCTCAAGCATCTTCTCGTTACCTTTTTACTCGGTGTGAATTTCTCCGAATGGAGCGAACAAGTCACTTTCCATTTAGGTGCTTTGGATCTTGACTTGGCGCTCGTTAGAAGATAAGCTCGTCGACCTTAATGCTACTAAGTACAGAGGTTGAAAAAGCACACCATAAGGCGTGGGTAAGGTCTAACAGATTATGTTTGAATTTTATGTGAATGTCGATTGCCAACAACATTAAGTCTACTCTTCCTAGCATCGAAAATCGAATGCTAAAGATTTTCTTAAGCTTGTGGAAAAGAAGTTCCGTTCTGCCGATAAGGCACTTGCAGTGGACACTTATGGCCGAACTCACGACCATGAAGTTTGATGGGTCAAAGATATGCGACAACATGTCCTCGATATGACTAACATTGCGAGCAAGACTTA